TAAAAACAAAAAAAAAAAAAGAAAAAGAAAAAAAGAAAAAAAGAAAAAAAAAAAAAAGAAAAGAGAGGCGAGAATGAATCAACTATCGAACTATGCTACTGTATAAAAAAAGATACTTCCATTCTGTATCGAACTTATTTACACTAAATAGAGAATAAATTATTAACATTTTATTACTCGGTGTAGAATATACGCAAGATGTTTCACCTTACTTGCCTATTTTAAATAACTTTAAATTTATGCGCCTAAGAAATTATTATGTAAAAAAGTTGCATAGTTTGTTTTTCTAGACATTATTATCTATTAACCTATGTATAGCAGAAAATTATTAGTTGCGTGAGATATTAAACGTTTTGTCTTTAATTTTGTAAAATCTATCGAGGAAGACTAAGAGCAGTACATTCGTACTCTCCTTGTCTCTCATAAGATTTTACAAATATCGTAAAATTAAAATATTTCCTAAACTAATAGTGTCTCGATATAGATAAATACTTTTTTTTCTTTATAATACAAAATAATTCATTGTCAAATTATGTGTATAAAATATACACATAATCCTCCAAACTATGTAACTTTTGTACATAATAATTTTTCATCAAATACACAGTGTTTAAAGTTACTTAAGATGTACAAGTTAGGCGAAACATCCTGTATAATGTATAACTTTAATACGTAAACGACAACTGACATTACGATACTGTATATATACTGTATATAAATAAATAAGTATAATGTCATAACGAATCGTTGAGAAATGCGTGTTTTTACGAGTTTACTTTGATAAAAAGAACGGTTCATCGTTACACGTGTTTAATCCTAGATGCGAATAGATATTCCCAACGACAATGATAATTCCGTGACTCGTATACCAAAGTGACAACTGCGCAATTACAATTGATGCGTATTATTGCGGCAGACTATACGATTAATTGATCTAATTCATCGAAGAAATTCGCTACTGCGCAGCAAGATTGTCCTCGTCTATATAACTCAGTTAAATTACATTTTTTTTCTTCTTCCTCGGATTTCTCAGCGTCCGAAAAAGTCTATTTACTTCTTTTACTTGTTTACTGTGTGTTCTCTGCTTTTTTTTTTCTTTTTGCTTTTAAATATACATCTACTTCTACCGTAATGTCAACCGACCGTCTCTGGTTTCGGGAGAGAAGGGATCCACAATCGAGTGAGTGATCCAGCAAGTTATCGGGGAGGGAGGGGTTACCGAACGTTTCTGCGCGGCCCAGGATTAATTTGCCTGGAAGATCGGACCGCGTGGTAAAACACAGCCATCACGTAAGCTTCGCACTGATTACAAAATCTCTTGCTCAGTTTTCTCACACATTCGCATATTCACCGGTCTTTCATTCTCCTCTCTCTCTCTCTCTCTCTCTCTCTCTCTCTCTCTCTCTCTCTCTCTCTCTCTTTCTTCTCTCTTTCATACTCATTCTCTCGTTCACTCGCCGCACATACACTCCACTCTTATTTGACTTAAACTAAATACAATCGTAGATTACAAGTATGTACAATTAACTAGTTCTTACTGCGAAAAGTAGTGACGAGGCCGTGTACGAAGTAATCTCAAGAAATCTCGTCTCTTCGTCTCATCTTTTCTTTTTTCTCTGGTACCTCATTTCAATGTTATACACCACGCGTATGTAATTCAGACGTGCACGACGCATACACAGTCTCGTTTTGCAGAATCTTTTTCGTTTCTTTTTTTTCTTTTTTTCCTTCCTCTTCCTCTTTTTCTACAACTTCACGGCCCGTTGAATTCACACACGTGTCGATTCCATGGAGATCTTCGTCAACAACCTCGACTGTTTCTTCGATCTGCTTTCTCTCTTATCAAGGAAAAAACAGACATCTCTCGTCGTCGTCGTCGCCGCTGCCGCCGCCGCCGCCGCCGCCGCCGCCGCGAAATGGCACGCCCGTTTTCATCTCGTCGAGTATTGTTTTAAGAATAAAACCGGATTATCATTATTATTATTATTATTATTTATTATTTTTTATTATTATTATTATTATTATTATTATTATTATTATTATTACTATTATTACTATTTTCTTTTCTCTTTTTTCTCGAGGAGTATAAGTTCTTCTCGTTTTAACGTGAGAGAACGTCCCTTGAAGCGAGTCCAAAACGAGTATATCTTAGAAGTCGCGACCACCTTGTTTCCTCTCGCCGAAATGAGCGTTTTTTTGTTTCACGTGTTTCTGTTGCCGTAAGAAGGTGAAGATTTATAGAAAGAAATTCATTAAGATGAACAAAGAATAATCATCGTGTGTGTGTCTGTATATATATATATATATATATATATATATATAAAATAATAATAATAATAATAATAATAATAATAATAATAATGATAATAAAATAATAATAATAATAAAAATAATATAATAATAAAATTAAAAAAAAAAACGTGATCTATATAAATATTATAACAGACTAATGCAAGTAATTCTTACATACAACTTGGTAAAAAATGTTGTATCAAAAACTATCACATCATAGGCTTAGTGATTGAACAGTTGACAAAGTTTATACTTGGTATAATTGTATCAATTATAAGTATTATTCGATAACAGTTATTGATAATCTCGAACCCAAACGGAACTATCTGCAAAGCAAAAAACGTTTAATCACCAACTGTTTTACGTTGATACTAATTATTGAGATATAGTATCATTCGGTTTAATGTAATATATATTAACAAAATATTTGACCTGAATTTGAAGCACAAATACCCCAAAACTGAAAAGTTTTGGAAGCCTACGACATCAGCGTTCTCTTTCTTTCTTTCTTTTTTTATTTCTCTCTCTCTCTCTCTCTCTCTTTCTTTCTTATACTCTCTCACTAAGCCAATGATACGCTGCAACAAAATATGGTAAAATTGGTCTTGTGAAGAACATGCAGTACCTCGATCTTCTCGGACCGTATTTCTCTTGGAGGAACAGTCTTTCACCTTATTACGGCAACGTGCTTTTCACAGCATAGTGTAACCGCAAGCGTGTAATCGAGTCCATTTTTCTTTTATTCGATCGTACAAAAGTCGTACAAGCACCTTGTGTGTGTATCATCGTGTTCATGTCCTCCGCTTCATTTTACTCCACGAGTATCATTAATTATCACCTAACTTGGCATCCCTGCGGTATACTTGTCGCGGCAGGACACGCGGAGGAGTCCCTTTGCACCGTACCACCGTTCTCCTCCTCTTCCTCCTCTTCCTCCTCCCTAGAAGACTCCTCCTCCTCTTGGCCCTTGATCGCTGGATTTCTCATCTCGTTCGTCACGTCGGGACTCGGCTCCGGTTTCTCCGTCGTTAAACCGGACTCCTCGCCGTGGTCCGGCGGGCCTTTCAGCTCGTATCCCTCCTGGCAGCGGGTCAATTTTAACCTGATCGGCGTGACCTTTGCCGAACGAACGTTTCTCGGCGCGCTGCCGCCGGTGTCCGGGTCGGTTGGCTGTTTCTCCTCGATGTTGGCAGCCACCGACGGGTAAACCGGCTCGTCCTTGGCCGGTTCCGGAGGCGGAGGGCCCACTCTACTGTCGGTCGGGTGTCGTTCCTCCTCCTCCTCCTCCTCGTCGTCGGTAAGCAAGATGGGCAACTCGTCCGGTGAATCGTTACCCTTGCCCAGTCTTATTATCAACTTCGGCGGCGCGGTCCCACCCTCGAGGATACGCACCCTCGCCTCCTTCTTGCTCGACTGTCGTTTCTTTCGTTTCCCGTTCTTGTCCTTCTTGCTCTTGCCCCGCAGTTTCTCGTCGTTGTCGAAACCGGCCATGATCATACGCCTGAACTTCATGCTCTCTCTCCTCAGCTCCTCGATGCTCGGCGTGCTGCTGGGAATACTGCACAGCCGTTTCTTCGGCGGCCTGATCCTCGTTCTGTCGTCCTGCCCGCTCTCCTGACCGCCGATTATGCTGTTGCCGATCTTGATCTTCAGCTTCGGTGGCCCGCTGTTCGTGGTGGTGGTGGTTGTGGCGGTGGTCGCCGATCTACCGCCGCTGCTCTGCCTGCCTCTCCTCCGATCCGTGTTACCGACCGGAGCGTTCCCGCTCGAGCTAGCACCGTTCGTAGCACTGCCGCGCCTCCTCTCCACGCCGCCCTCCTCCTCGTTGGCATCCAGGAACCCGGCGGACCTCTCTTTCCTTCGTTTCTTCTCCATGTTCGCGTCGACGACCGCCTTGTAGTCCTCCCTCGTCGGTATACTGGTCATCGAGGCGACCGCTTTCGGTATAGTGATCACCGTGCGGTTGATCTGCGGCATGATGATCGGCGCCGATGTGGCCAGGTTGCCACAGCCCGGCTCGTCCATGTTCATGTCCTGAGAGCAGTACTGTCTCAGCAACTCCTTCTTGCGCATCCGTCGGAGATTCGAGGTACCGGAAGCGATGGAAGCACTGGTAGCCGCTGGGGCGATTATCACGGGCGCCTGTTGCGCGAGCGGCGGCACCGACGAGGTAGCGACGTAGTTCGCGTCCAGGAACGGGCCCTTGATCTTCACCTTCAGCTGGTTCCTCGAGTCCGTCAGGGAGACCTTGTTCGCGTCCACGAAGCCGGACGACGAGGCGTCGATACTCGCGTCGAAATTCGGCTTCGAGCAGTCCTCCTGGCCTTGCTTGATCAGCGCGGACCTCAACTCCTTCTCGAGGTCCTCCTCGATGTCCGGGAGGGCGGGGTCGTTCGCCGAGACACTGGTGAACGTCCCCAGGAAGTGGTTCTCGTACGTCTGGCCGTGCAACGTCGAGGAGCTCGAGGCGTCGAGGGTGGAGTTGTACGTTCTCATGTCGACGGGGCCTGGGATGAGCGGTAGGACGGTGTCGAAGCTGCCAGCGTTCGTCTGGCTCTCCACAACGACTCCGTCGTCGCGACCCGGAGAAAATCGTCTGTCCTCCAGGTACTTTTTGCTGCCTCCAGGACTGGACAGCCTCGACTGGACACTTTCTCCGGAGGCCATTACCGTGGAATCTCTCCGCTCAACGCCAGCTGCCGCCGCGTCCGTCGACTTCTTCCGCTCCCTCATGGTGCGCAGGTCGGCGATGTTCGCCTCGCTGGTCGAATCCTCGTCGGAGTCGAAGTCGTACACCGTGCCGACCAGTTTGTTCTGTATGGAGTCGTCGTGTTGCCCGATGCTCGCGCTGGCGACCAGCGAGAGCCCGGAACTTTGCCCGCTTCTACCTCGTCCTCTGCCCCTCCCTCGTCCGCGTCCCCTGTAACCGGAGTGCTGCGCCGAGTTCTTGGCGCCCCTGCCACGACCTCGCGCCCCGGCAACGTTCTTCTGAGCTTCCTGCCTCGGGGACTTGCCCGGTGACTTTCCTTGCAGAGAGGTTACGCGAGCGGAGGTCCTCGTGGGTTTCGAGGGTGACTTTTTCCCAGGGTGTTGCTGGCTCTTGCCGTCCGTCAATGCTTCTTGGAGGTTCTCGACGACGGTCGAGTCGCTGGCGTGACTCTCCGGCGCCACAGTGTTCAAGAAGTTGATCGGCAACGAGGGTGAATCCGTCACTTGCGTTTGAAGTTGTTGTTGTTGCTGTTGCTGCTGCTGCTGCTGCTGTTGTTGTTGCGTTCTTTCTATCGGTTCTGCCGTGGGTGGAACGGTGACTTGCGGAGGTGGCGGCGGCGGAGGTGGCGGTGGAGTGACTATCTTAGTAGGCGAGACCATGGCCGCGGTGAGCGCCATGTTGTGCGAGGAAGACGTGAACGCCGCGGTGCATGGCGAAGCTTGCAGATTCAGCGAATCTTCCAGCGGCTTCACGTGCGGCAACAACGACTGAGCGCCTGGGAACGCTGCACCGAACGCCGGTGGGAAGAGGGCCGGTCCAGGGGAAGGGTAAGGCAGCGGGGCTGCGCAGGACTGCGGCGGGAACAGGCTGACTGGACCAGTTCCGTAGCTGGAGTCCGCGTAGTACGTCGTCTCCATGGAACACGGTGGGAACGGAATGCTCGGCACGTTCTTGTACGGTGGAATGGAATGGTCCTCCGCGGACGAGGCGGAGGTAATCGAAGAGGACGTGGACCTTCGAGACGGTAGAACCTGACTCTCCGCCCACCTGGTGTCGGGACGACCGTTTATGTCGTTGTACGGGGAATTTTGATCGTACTCCTGTTGCCTGACAACGTCGTCCTCCTTCTCGAGCACCCTGTCCATCATCTCGGCAGCCTGGTCGTCCTCCGACGCTGGCAAACCGATCAGGTGTCTGTTCACCATTTCCATGGGGTTCTCCTCTGGTATCGGTTGATCGAGCATCGTCCTCTCGTGCGATTCTTGCTGACTGTGTTGCAGGATCGAATGCGACTGCTGCAACAGATACTGCTCCTGTATGCTGGGCGCGTTTAAGTGGGCACGCGCGATAGGCTCGCTCTCCGGTATAGTTTCGTTGGGGAACTGATGATTGCCGTATCGACGATTCTGCGTCTCCATCAATGCGTTCAGGTGTTGAACATCGCTCAGCTCGAAACTGTTGATACTCGGGGGCACCCATCTCTCGTCCGTCTCCGCGCGATCGAGCTTCGATCGCTCCACCAAGCTCACCTTGCTCGCCTCGCGATCCTCCTCGTACGCTGCATACCTGTCGCTCGAGTAGCAAGCCTTCCTCTTCTCCTCTACCGTGGTCTTGTTGCAACTGCCGGGACGGGTCTCGTTGATAGCTACCTCCTCCTCGGGAATTTCAACGTTCTTCACGTTCATAATCTCACGTTCCACGATAGGCTCGAGGATCTTTGCCTCTTTTTCTAACTGAGTTTGAGCAAGTTCTTGCTGCTGCTGCTGCTGCTGCTGCTGCTGCTGCTGTTGTTGTTGTTGTTGTTGTTGAAGCTGTGGTGACTGTTGCGGTTGAAGTTGCTGCGTGAGCTGTTGCTGTTGCTCGTACGTCTTCTCGATCGGTGGTTCTTCCTTTTTAATTTCGCCATCGGCAGGTACTGCCTCTGATTCGAACTGACTAGAATTTGACTTCTTCGAGAGTTCCATCCGCAATTTCTCCACGAGGTGCAACGTTTCCCTAGCGCTGTCCTCCTTCGAGTCTTCCTTGAACCACAGCTCGTTGTTGAACGAGAAGCTCAACGGTACACCGCGTTCCTCCACGTCTCTCGATATACCGAATCCGTCCTCGTTCACGATCTCCTCCGTCAGCATGTCCTGATCGAAGTCGAACAACTCCGATACACTCGCGTCCTTGCCGTGCTGCGGCGAGAAGATCGATCTGTTCCCAGACTTTCGCCGTTTCTGATGTTCCTTCTCACACTCGACTCTTTCCAAAACGGACTTGACGTTCTCTTGATCTTTCACGCTCTCTTTCGGCACGCTCTCCTCAACGAGAATGGACTGCGGCTCGAGATTCTGCGGCGATTCGATGCCACGTTGCTCGACAGTTTCCCCGTCCAAACACTTCGTTTGATTCCGATCCGATTTCCTCTTTCCAGTTGCGAGCTTCTCCACCTGTGGCATGTCGACGATATCCTTCTTTATCATCTCCTCCTCCATCATCTGTTCCTCCGACTTTGGCCTCTCGATAACAACGTCGCTTTCGTTGACATGGTTCTCGCGGTCCTCGTTCTTCACGAGCTCTTTCATTTGCCGGTTTTCCTCCACTGACTCCTTCTCCTCCTTCTCCTCGTCGCAGGCAACCTTCTCGACCTTCACCTCGGAATTCTTGCTCTTGGACATCTTGTCGTGATGCTCGCGTTTCTCCAACAGTTTGTCCAATCCTCTCAGCGACTTCTTCGGGCTGTCCCTCTCCGCTCTACGCTGCTTCATTTCCTCCTCCAACGTGTTGATCGCGTCCTTGCCACCGATCTTCTTCACTTTCTTTTCCTCGCTCTTCGACGAATTCTCCACGCACTCGATGACTTTCCCCTGATCGACCACCTTCTGCTCGTCCTTCCTGCTGCTCTCCTCATCTATCACGTTCTTCTTCTCTACCATCTTCATCGAGAATTGCTTGTCGGCTAGACGTTTCTCCGGTTTCTTGATCGTTTCTTTCCCGCTCTTTTCATCCTTAGCAACGGCCTCGTTTGGTTTTCGCTTTCTGCTTTCAGACTTCGCCTTCTTATCTTCCTTTCTTGCCAGGGACTGTTGCTTACTAGCCTGACCCGACTTTTTGGGAGGTCTGGACCCAGAAACACTTCTCGGCCCATCATGATCTCCAGACCTAATGAGCAGATCCTCATTAGCCTCCGTTCCTGTTGCTGCTGCTGCTGCTGATGATGATGATGATGATGATTGTTTTTGTTTGTTGTCTCTTTGATCTTGCTTCTTGACAATTGCTTCCTGCTGGTGTGCCTGTGGTTGTTGTTGTTGGTGTTGGTGTTGCTGCTGCTGCTGTTCTTTGGAGGTTCTACGAGGTTCCTCTCTCTCAGTAGGCGGCTGAAACTCAGGTCCCCGCCGCCCATCGGAAGTTTTAAGCTTCTTCTCGGGCAGCTTCTTGAGTTTCCGCCCAGATATTTGCTTTCTCTCAGCATCCTGTCGTTCCGGCGATCCCTTGTTGATACCGGACTGTTGCCTTTTGCTAGCCGCGCTTGAAACCGCCATCGGTTTTCCTTTCGTCCTGTTGTTGCCCGGAGTGTCGCTTTCAGAGGAAGTGGTACAGGAGGAAATGTCCATCAGTTCGTCTGAGAATTTCCTACGTTCCGGATTCTCGGAGTCGCTGCTGCTCTCCGACGAGCTGCTACAACTGTTATTGCTACTGTTGCTGTCGCTGTTGCTCGAAAGTATCGACTTCCGTTCGCTCGACTTTCCGGGTCTCCTCGAACGGCTCTCCTTCGAGATGATCTCCTCTTTCCTAGAGGGGGACTCTTCCTTCTTCGACACCAACTCCTCCTTTCTGGACGAGACGACCTCGTCTTTTCTGGAGAACGAGGAGGAGGAGGACGAAGAAGAGGACGAAGATGACGAGGAGGACGAAGAGGATGACGACGACGACGACGAGGAGGATGTCTCCTCTTTTCGCGAAGCGAGCTCCTCTTTTCTGGAAGAATCGTCCCTTTTGATCTCCTTTCGTTTCCCCGTCTCTGGGGATTCCTTCTTCGACCTTCCGTCGAGCGTTTCCTGTTCGATTTGCTGTATAGTCTTGGTACCCATACCGCTCTTGATGTGCTCCGCGGCCTTTTTTGCAGCTTGCCTCTGCGGCACGTACGCCAGAATCTCCGTCCCGTCCTCCTTGTCGAAATCGTACACGTCGTTGTTTTTAGTTTCTTTCAACTGTTTGTTCTCCCTCTGCTTTTTACTGGGGCTTTTGTCTTTCGATTGTTTCGACGAGGAACACTTGGGCAGTTCCTCGACGGGAGATTTGATTATCTCTGGCATAGATTCCGGCGCCGAGTTGTCCTTCTTGCCTTGCTGCGTACGTTGCATGATCTCCGATGCTTTCTTCGCAGCTTGCCTCTGTGGGACGATTAACGCCGAGGGTATGTACTCTTTCTTCTTGCTGCTGCTTTTATTCTGATTCTCTTTGTTCTTCAATCCTGTGTTGTGATACGCCGACTCGACGTGTCTCGAGTCCTTGCTGAAACCTTTCTGCGAATTTTTCGACAGATTCGCCGCGGAGAATTCTTTCACTGCTGCCTTCGTGATCAACACCGCAGAGTGGGACGCGTGTTCCTGGGAATCGGAGTCAGTGTCAGAGTAAATAGCGGAAGCAGTGAAATGCTTTGTCGCGCCGCCGCTTAACGTTAACAATTCGTCGCTCTCGCTGCCAGAGGCGCTCCCCAGTTCTTTCTCCATGTGCTCGAGCGTGTGCGATCTACTGTTCACGAACTTTTCGTTTTCACTGTTCTCCCTGAGCGACGAGTGCAGCTTGCCGGCCGACTGGACAATCTTCTTCGTTTTCCTTCGCGACGGGAGCTTGGTCTTTGTCGAAACGTTGCTCTCCTCCTCCGTGCTCGACTCGGTTTTCGATTTCTCAGTTGTTTTCGCCTTCGCCGCGTCCGTTTCGCTGCTACTGACAGACGATAGATCACTGCCATAGAGATTCTTCCTTCGGACGGAGCCGTTGAAGTATAATTTTTTACTAGATGCACCGTTGAAGTCTTGCTGTTGCTGTTGTTGCTGCTGCTGCTGCTGGCTCTTCTTCTCTTCGGTAGTCGGAGAGTCTATACCAGCGATTCTGGCAATGATCGTGTCGAAGTCGTGAGTATGATCCTCCGAGTCGGGATGGGAATACAATCGGTCGTATATCGAGGGTCCGTGATTTGCTTCCATCACGGCAACGGCTGCTGCTGGTGGTAGAGGCGGACCAGACATTACCAGAACCTGTTTATGGAAAGTCTGTTCCCGTAGTCTGAGAAATGTTCGGCAAAGTTTTTCTCTTCTGCCGACCATGTAACACAGATTCCGCACCCTTTCCAAGTCCTGGCGTAATTGCACGAATGTCCTCATCTTTTCGAGATCTGCTGCTTGGCCTTGATTACGAGACCCGCTACCCGAAAGTTCTCCGCAACGCGGTGCCAACAGTGGTTTGTTATGTCCGGCCTGGAAAATGTCAAATACATTTCACTGAAAATTGATTCACGACGAAAGAAACTTGATGCAACATGACGTTATATCTATATTCTCTGCATATTGTTAATTTAAATATTAGTTTATTTAAAAAACAATAGAAATTTAACCAGAACGTGGGGTAAAATTAAATTTAAATTCTTGTATTACTGCAGAAAGAGAATGTAATTATTTTTATAATTATAATCTTAAATGAAGAGTCATAAGTTAATAGGAGATTATTATCAGTTTCAACCAATGTGCAATGTTTTTAAGCTTTACTTACCCTTCTCTTGAGTTTCCAATAATTATAGATATAAACAATGCCATCAGGATCTACGTCTAATTGCTGTGAAGCGATATCCTTTAAGCTCACGTGTTTGTCAAATTCCGCTTCGATTTCTTGTAGTCTAACGAAAAAATAGTAGCCATACAATGCAATGATCAATGTTTTCCTTTATGAACTAAAGTTAATAAAGGAAAACAGATCGGGAAATGATTAAACGTACTTTGCAGCGCGCGCTTGATTTTTTTCTTCAGAAGTCATGTCTTTCCTTTTGCGTCTCCTAGATTCCGCATCTTCGGAATCTGATCCTGCTTTGTCAGCTCCACTTCCTATACTGCTTCCAGTGCCTTGAACTTTGTCTTTTGTATTTGTTCTACTATGTTTCTGGCAGTAAGACTACAGATAAATTATTTATGTTATTCTTTAATTCTAAAAAATTTTTTTCTTATAATTTAATATTTTCTGAATCGATATTTACATTAGTTGATATATATGAAAATAAAAATATTTCATTTCTTCTATAATGTTTAAAATAATTTTTTATTGAACAATACCCTTAATTTTACTCCATCGTCAGCCATTTCATCTTCAATAATTGCCTTCATTTCCAAGCCATATTTGAAGGCACACGTTACATGATAAGCTGTCTTACACGTCTTTATACTGCACTGGATGCAAGCACCGACTCTTTCTCGGCACAATACACATATTAGGGCCCATCGACTTTGCTATAATAAACAAATATTTTTATTTTTTCATTTAATGAAATTTGTACTAAACACATGTATATAATATATATATTTCATGTACCGGAATGCTGGATATTTTTGTAATAGGTTCCATCCTTTCGACACAGCCAATGCTGACTTCTGGGATCCATAAAGCACAAGAAACATGAGCCCACTTTTGGCCACTACGTGTACATTTCATAGCACCACCTTTATTAGGACAAAGAACACAATCTGGTCGTTGACTCAGAGAACAAGTTCTGCATAGCCATGAACCATCCGGTATTGACGTAATTCCATAACATGCTTGATGTACACATATGTTACAACAGTCACAAAATACCATCTCATTTCCTTCCTCAGAATCGGGCTAGCAAAATAAGTTTTAACGTGTTTCAATATTGTTAATGCTAGTTTATGAAATTAATTAGAAAATACTTACAGATCTGCAAACATCACAGATCACATTTTCATCATATTCAATACCAAGACCTTCTTCATTTTTCACTATAGTCTGTATTCTTTCCCAACAACGAATTTCCAGTTCTTCTATTACACGTTCTAATTGCGATTCCGTAATAGGCAATTGACCAGCCTAAAATTATAATACAGCAATGTAATAAAATTTTGTACTATTTTGAACAAACATAGTTTTATATTGTTACTGTAGAGTTACTATCTAAGCAGTTAAAGCTCCTTCATTTTTTAAAGAAATCAAATAAAAAATTTCAATTGATTCGTGTAACAAAATTTCATATGATGAAAATTACTCAATTTTAAATATACCTGTGCACGTTCACCATTTAATACATCCAACCAAGCTATATCAGTATCATCGAGGTCATAGGCACAAGCTTTTTCTGCTCGTGCTGGTGTTGTACTTAAATGATGATCTTCAGGATTAAAATAATCGTCACGAGATATCCTTACGAACTTTTTGGGTCTAAAAAAACATTGTCACAAAAAGAAATTACTAAAAGACTTTGTATTATGTTTATTTATGTTGTATCACTCGTAATTATTAATATGTACATGTTTAAAATTCAATTAAAAAATGAAAATAAAAATTACATTTTGCGAATTCTTTTCTTACGAATGAAGAATATGAATTTGGTTTTAAATTATTTTTTAAATATTACTATCTTTTTAGAAAAATCAAAAAAGATCAACAATTTCTCAAAGTATTCTATCCTTTCTTCAACTATTTTATTATGCAAGATTATGCTCTAATATCTAAAAATGATTTTACTCTTTGAGCATTATTTGGTATAGCATAGAATATAACATTACTTGCTATATAATTATCATAGTCTAGAATTATTTGTTTTTAAACATATTTAAAAAAAAAAATTAAACTTACAGTTTAAATTCACTGTGCTGCTTTATGGGTGTTGCTTGTGTGATTGTGACTGTTGGTTCTGGAAGGGAGTCTGGGTTGACAGGTACTTGAACACCTCTCTCCCATTCTTGTTTCCATTGATCAGTAATAACCCAATATTCATTGGGACTTAATGGCTCGCTGTCAGGTAATTTCATTGCGCTAATCAAATCCTTACGAAATAATTCTGCAGGAGCCTCAGCAGAGGAGCGGTTATATATACTAGAGATTTTAATGTCACAGACTGGTCTGGGGGTCCAGGATGCCCCTCCTTGACTGGACGACGCCATCGTCTCCTCCTCTTCTGAGGGCCCCATGGTAGCTGCCAGCGACGACGAACCCGTCGCTGGACCCAGCCTACATTTGCGCCTTTTGATTGCGCCTGGGCAAGACGCCAAATCATTGTCGTTTCTATTTATTCGCTTGCCTCGCTGTGCCATTCTACTATACCAAGTAAGCTAGCGATACGTGGCACGTGCAGGTGAGCCGTGCACACCCTAAAACGTTTTGTTATTGTAAATTAAGCAAACGATAAAAAAGAAAATTAAGAAAAGGAAAGTGATTATTCAATTACTTACTACATAGTCGTCCATGTATTTATTATCTAGAAAGCGGATTCCTCTTGGAGCTGCAACAAAAAACATAATTGTAGCTTTACCCTAACTAAAAGGGAAACTAAAATAATTTTATTCAAAACTTCTTTAAACAATTATCAATTGCATCTATAGTGCTATAAATGATTCCCTGTGCAAAATTAACTATTCTTTACAAATAAAGGAATATTTATCAAATGTTGCATGATTTTAATAAGAGTATTACATAAAATAAAACTTTCATGCTTACATACAATAAATGGAGTACGTCACATATAAAATGAAAACAAAACAATATATAAAATCAACAACGTATGCATCGCGTCAAACTATTTTAAATTAACAACTATTTACAAAAAAACAATGGAAAAGAGAGACAAATCTATTGAGAATGGTACTTAAACACAATGATAATACACAACACCAACTGTGTACAAAAAAAAATACATGGAGTACGATCATTCAAACATATTTCATACGATACACACTGTTTAACAATGTTCATCAAAATAACTGGAAACATGTTGTTACACGTAAGAAAAATATAAGAGCAACTATGTCTGAAGGGACTGATATTACACAGAGATCATAAAGCTCAAGACACAAAGCATTCCTTTGCAAAGTGAATTTTTGAAGGTAACACTTGAAATTCAGAGCTACTCAATCAACACAAATCCACAACTCTGCCAATTAGCACATATTCGGTTGTTTATCTCGGGATTCTAGCAACGTAAACATGTTTGAGAGCATAAAACTCGGACAAAAGGACTGATGGTATAGACCGATTGTGTTGCAGGGGGTCTGCGGCCGTTGATCCTCGATGGCCGCCGCGGAGAGGTTATAAATGGGGCAGTCCAGCAGAAAGAGTTAGAATCTGAACGAAATCGTTTCCCCGTAACGTAACGAGACGCTGAGCAGTTGGAAATGCACGATAATCGTGGTGAAACTGATGGCCGTGGCGGGTGGCATGTAAACATTGCGACGGAGTTACTCCGCGGCGACGCTCGAGCGGCGCCGAGGCTCGACCGTGATGGATCGCCGTACGACTTTCGATGACTCGACACGAGGAAGTCGAGACTCGCGGCCGTGAATTGACGTCTAGAAGAAGATCGGGCGGAGAGTCGAAAATGCTCACGGGTCCATTGGGCTGGTGGTGCTCCTGCTGGCCGACAACATTGACAATACAGATGGCGACAGGCTCGACTCGCACACGAATCTCGATACACACGTACACACATCGGGACGCACACGCAATCGAATTTCAACACACATGCACACAAGTGTAAGTAAATACGCACACGCGACGTGAGTGCATCGGTGTGCACAGGCGTAAGTGTACACGCACACGACGTTGGTACGAACACGCGAGCACAGGTTCGACACGCACACGCGGACATGAACACGCACGCGCGCGCAAGAGTGAGCAAGAACGAAAGAGACAGAAAAGGATAGAGATGGTTGGAAGGCAGTAAATGCCTTATTATTGATCTATCGGCGGAGAGGGTGATTTCGCGCGCGATGATGCACGTGACAAATAATAGCCGGTACGTCTGATCGTGAATGATCGAATTATTCTTCGATCGGTAGCTCCGAGATGGCAGTAGTCCGAGTACGCCTCTGTCACGGCAGCCTAACCAAGATGTCCTCATTAGCAATTCGAGTCGCAGCCGCGACCAACTCGGTTTTACTCACTTCGTGGCCCCGAGGGCTCCTGTCGAGCTCACTCGACGCCCTCAAATAGCCTCCGTAAGGACACCCGATGGCTTTCTTCCTCGCGCGGTGCACCAAATCGATATTATATTTACATTAATGTGGATACTGCTGTTTGGCGCCATCATGCCTAAAAAAATAACTGTCTGATCGCGGAGTCACGTGACCGCACGACATTGCAAGATCTCGCGATTGCTTTTATTCATAGGGCACTAACAGTTCTGGGAACCGAGCAGAATAAGAAACCTGTAAAATAACTAACTCTCGCGTATTTCTGACAAACCTTGCTTTAATTCTTTGTCTCTGACATTCATCAAGAATTGAACAAAGAAACATCGTACTTTCAAAAATTTTTCAAAAACTCATGCATAATAATCCTTTGGGATTATAGAGATCACAAACGAATCGAGTTGTAGAAAAAATTTAGTAGGGAAAAAACTAAAACATAATGTTTCAAACGATTATCCCCTGAAAATATTTTACGCGATAAATATTACTATACCGTCTAGGAATTTTACTAATTCTACAATGGCGCGCTCGCAGGTAACTAGAACCGCTGGGAGTCTTGAGAAACTAATTTTGATGCATAACTTATATCCGTTTAGTAGCAGACAACTACTAAATATAAATTACATACATATGCAATTATATGCAACAATTAAAAGTATTTAATGTATTAAAATATTTAAAAATATATTTTATATTTCGATTTGTACAGACTCTATCACAAAATTTTCACAAAGCATTTAATTAGCAGTCTTAATTATTGTTTTCAAAGTGCACTGAAAGATTTAAGAATTAATTATTTTATTTATTTTTTGATGTATCGTTGCAATATATAAGATCTATATAATAACAGTAATATTTTTCAGGTATCTTTTATATATTGTCAATGTGCACTTAAAAATTTATTATTGAATATAAAGAATTTTCCAAGTTCTGCGAGTAATATTTTTTACTTTTCTTTTTCAAGTGACAGATTCAGCCAGAAGGAAGCTGTTGTTTTAATTGTTTTATTTTCAAAAATATAAAAAACAAATCATATTCTTCAATCGCTACAAAGCAATTGAAACAAACGTTATTAAATCGTAAAACAATTCCTGTTTATGTCATAGAGGTTATGTTTACGTTATAAAGGATGGAGCAGGTATTTCAAGGAATATCTTTTTTTTCTAGTATTGTTGACAATTTTACAACATGGCATAGTAATTTTAGGATTTAAAGACGAAAATCGATCAGGCCTGCCGAACGGCCGAAGAATTTACAAAGCTTTATTATGAAAGTTTGGACAAACGTAGATATGTAAGTAATTTTATTATTATCTGGAATTATTATTTTATTCAAATTAAGTTACAAATTTAAAAATATTAAATAGAAACAAAACAAATGAATTATTAGAATACAGATTATATTTGTTATTTTAGCTCATATCAAGATTATATCTAGATACTGCAACTTTAATATGGAATGGAAACGGTATTGAAGGAAAAGATAATATACAAAAATTTTGGACAGACTTGCCACCTTCAGATCATTCTGTTTTTACTTTAGATGCTCAACCAATAACAGGTAAAGAGTTACATGCATAGTTTAGACATCTATTTGTAGTTTAATTAGTTGTGAATTTTTATACTTGGTATTATTGTTTCTTTCTTCATTATATTTTGTATAAATATTCAATATTCAGTATTAAATATATGTAAATGTATTTAATTATGTTACTAGGTCCTGAGATGGCAGATCAATTAACATTCCTTGTAAAAGTTGGAGGACAAGTGAAGTATGATGACAAGATATCAAAACCATTTAGCCAATGTTTTCTAATTGCAGCTATGGGAGATAAGTGGAAAATTGTAAGCGATTGTTTTCGTGTACAAGAGATATTAGAAAATGTAAATTGAAATATAAAATAAGACAGTTTGTGTTCTCAAAATATTCAAAGTCTTTCGTGATTCAATATTTCTTTTTATTTCTATCGTCGGTCTTATATCAATGTATAAAGCGATATTAAAATTTTTGTATTAGTGAATCAGTACGTTGGTCGATCATTTAGGAATAACTTTACACGAGAAAAAACTAAAAATAAATATAGATATAAATACTTAGACATAAACATTACTATGATACATATTATATAAAACATCGATTTCATATCCTTTGACAGCTCATCAACTTAAATATCCAATGATTAATAAGATTTTGAGAAGTTCTAAATGTACGATTTTTTAAATGAAATACCTATCAATATATAGTTTGTAATACTTCTTAAGGTCTATAAATATTGTCTATAATTACTTAAATTTTGAAAGAATCATACATAACATTTTTTGTTTATATTAACTGTGTTTTATTGCTCATCAGTCAATATAAACGAGATTAAACGTAATAAAACAAAATCTCTCATAATTAAATATAACATGCAATGAGATTATAATACAATTATCTATAGCATCTGTAATCTGTCATTCCCATAACAAGAATAAAAATTGTTTTAAAATTATTAAATATAATTAGACTAAAAGATCACTTAATATGTTAAAATGTATATGAAACTTGAATTATAATGTTATGTATGATCCTTTGAAAATAATTATGTATTTACAGATAACATTTTATTGAATACTTTGCTTAATAAACTAAGAATTGATTTAAATTCCAGTTAAAAATCTGTACACCTAGAGCTTCTCAAAAAGATTCGTTCGTTCGATCGCTCGTCTTTCCCTCCCACCCTCTCTCTCCCTCTCTTTCTCGCTTTTTTTTTTAATTTGAAGATAAAAGATAAGTCGATCGGTGTATCACAGGTACAAATGATGCAAAAAANAAAAAAAAAAAAAAAAAAAAGAAAAAAGAAAAAGAAAATTCAGAGAAATGATTGGGTGATCGGACCGAAAAGAGAGAAATTCCGGTTCGCATAATTAGCGTTGTCGATCGATGTATTCTAGTAGCCATATGTAGGCAGTGTTATAAGGAAAAAGTCTTGATTGGCAAATCGAATGGCATTTTCATTCTCGTTGCTTATTTCTTATTTTTAAATGACCAAATAAAATATGATTTCAGACTCCGGAAACTCTTATTGGAAGACCAGCAAATGAACAATTTTACTAAATTAATATATAATATAAACAAAGAAAGATGTTGAAAAATTGAACACTATGCCATGAATATTTTTAGAATGGTAAATTTGAACTCGAATCATTTGATTCACAGTGAATCATTTAATATTTATCTTTAATTAATGAATTCATTCACAATTTATGGTTCATTAGAATGAACCATCATCATGCTATAAAGAATGATAAATGAAATAAAATGAACATTAATTTCTATTAAAGTTAAATAATATCTCTGCTTTTTCCTCAATTTTTTAAAAAGTATCCGGAGTCCTTGTTTTCTATTAGAGCTTTGTGGAAGAAAATCTACGCGATGTGCGCAGACAAAACAAAATATTTCAAAATTTGATTAATTACATCCGCTGATTTACATAAATATATACAGCAAAACCTTGATACTACTTGATCATATACAAATCTGATTTTTGATTATTGTAATGCTTGATTGAACTTTCCATTATTCAATACTAACTAGTAATATTAATATAATTAAAATTGATAAATATTAAATTTTTAAAACACACATTATAGTAATACATGCTTGATATAGTTCCATGAAAATAAATTTACAATAGTCATCAATACAAAAGCAATAAGATGTTTATACGTATTACGAATAATAAATATTTTTTAAAATATTGAGATAACATGTTAAATGGATTAAAAATGGAATAGTACGTAACGAGAAGTTGACGAAGGTTGATTAATCGAAAAGTTCATCAATTTAAGACCTTTACCTTTCCTGACTGATTTCTCTAATCAAAGTTTTACTGCATTATTAAGCATACCTGTTATTCGACTTACTCTATACAAATACAAAAGTTGTTACATCCTCTCACGCATTAAAATGGCTTACTCGCTTAAAAGTTTTCGCACTTACGACGTATAATCTAGCCTAAGACTCTGCATATGATATTACGAAGCACGGCGCAAGAAAGTTCGATGAAAGAACACCGAAATGTTTTACTCGACAACTATAACCACTACATTTATCGTATAGCGGACGAGTATGATTCACGTAGAGTTTCAGTTATACAGGATACATGTTGGATCGACGTAAAAATAATCATAATTAATTTACAAAAAGAACCAAGTATTCAGTGTACAAAAAGTATTTTTTTTTCTATATTCATAAGATAAATATGTATTCTTTCATTTCGATAAACTGCGATTACTCGTCCTTTTTCTACCAATTTGAAACTATTATCCAAAAAATTTAAGGAACCAGAGAGTATATTTGATCCTTATTTTATATGCTTATTATACTTCTAAATTCACTTTGCTCTTGACAATACATATTTCTTCTTTTTTCTTTCTTTCTTTGCAAAACTCAATACATAGAAAATATAAGTTTACTATATGGTCTTTTTTTTTTATGATATCAAAAGAATATAATACTTTTATTATAATAATATCTCAAAATTCGAAGGAAAATGGCTAATCGCAGTCTATATTTAAAAAATTTATTGATGAAAAAATCGAGAGAGATATATATATATGTATATTTTTAATTTAGTATTTTAATTTTAGATTTTTTTTTCTTACTTTTCCATCAAACCAGTATTTGATTGAGGCCGTGTTTGACTTAAGGCCTTGATCTAAAATATCCTTGGCTTTGCGTACTCTCTCTAAGAGCAAAATTATGAGTGTTGCTAGGAAAACCATTGCAACGAAATCTTTTAAAATCTTCATTGTAGAAGAAACGTTTTAAACGTTTTCGACTTTCAACTAAAATTGGACAAGGACCATAAAATTGCTTAACACTGAATACAAAAGATGAAAGATACAACTCTGATACAAGACTTCGGAAAGATTTCCAAAGATGTTTAAAAGATGTTTAAAACATTTGCGACTGAGTAACAGACATATACATTAGAAATAGTACCGGATAAAAATGAGGACGAGAATAAGGGTGGTGTTAGAGAGAATGATGTTAACTTCTCTAGTTTATCTTTGTACGGTATTGACAACATCTTTTATCGTGTTTTGAAGATCAGTGAGAAGTCTTGTATTCTCTGCGACATTTCGAGTACCAGCTGCACGAAGTTGTCGTGCCTGAAGCTCTAACCTTGCAAGAAGATCGCGAAACTGAAATCGTGCATGCGGCGCGATACCACTGTCTGCAAGATTAGCGCACATTCCGTGCAACAGCCCTACCTTATCTGAAAGTTGGAGCCAGCTAGTCATTACTATCGTTGAGCTACTTTTCAAATTTAACACGCTGTTCTCGATTAACGTTGAAAGCTCCAGTACGATCTGCTTAGCGGTTCTTGAGTCTGTATTCTGCTTACTTAGATCATCTTCTGCATGCTGAGACTTCGTACAATTTGGCGTTGCGTAAATTGAAGAACCAAAATGTTTAGTTGATGAACACAATGGTTTTAGTGGTTTTGCAGGAACAACTGGTTTCTCTGGTTCAGGTGGTGGCCAGAGTCTGGTATCACTTTTGCTACCAGAACTAAAAACGTTGATCATTGTCTTATTATTATTACTTAAACACAAAAATTACAATAACAATTAACGAAATTATCTTTACTTAACAAGCAATATATAAATATTAAGAAAAGAGAACAAATATTGATATACCTTTGACTACGGGTTGAGGCTCCGCTATGATCTTCGGGCGAATCTTCTGTTTGGTCAACAGTTTCTTGTTTACCACTACTTCCTCTTACACTAAGTTTTGGACTGTGAGGCTGGCTATCACAGGATTCTTTATTCTCCCATAGCTTCTTTAAACTGCTGATACTACCAGTGCTTCTGCGCTTGTCATCTTGCTGTTCTTCCGATTCTGAAGACTGTTCAGTGACGGTGCTTTTCTCCTCCAAGGATTTTTCCTTCTCTGCGTTCTCAACTTTTCGAAGTCTCGCCTTGAAATCGATTATTTGTCCATCAGATGTCTCTTCCTTTTGCGGATTGTTTCGCTTATCTACTCTCTTCAATTTGAAACCGACACTTCCGGTTGAGAGTATAGACTCAGTCACCGGAGAAGATACGCATGAATCCTTATAAGTATTATGAATTTGGTGTTGCTGCTGTTCTTGAGTTGCTTCGTTGGTTTTCAAAGTTGATACAGCATACTCATTTTGAGCGTGTCTAGCACAACAAAAATATAAAATACATGTAAAAATAGTTAAGAAACAGCCTATTAGATATGATATATATATATAAATACTAGCATTTACCTCTGTCCAGAATCCATGTTAAAACTAGCACATAGTTCCGAAAGTAACTGCGATGCTGGATCCAAGAGGGCGGATGGAGTACTGCTTGTTATTCCAGCTTTCTTCCCAACCGTACCGTGTTTCGTTTCTGCACTCTGTTTAATTTCATTTATCAATTTCAGTTCTAACATCTCTTTCATTCCAGGTTTGCGTTCGAAACTATCAGGGGGTGCATTTGTAGAAACTGGCGGTGGAGGTGGCGGAGGAGGTGGTGGTGCTTCTTCTGGTGGTGCAGCAGGTTCAATTGTTTCTATCCTGGATTTAAAACCCGTCCTTTTATTATCGGTAGTTCTACACGAGTTGTCTTGAATCTCTCTGCGTCTCAAATTCACTCCAAACCTCGAACACGCTTCTTTTACAGAAGGTTCTGCATTACTAACGTCATTTCTATCCTCTTGTTGCTCATTTTCATCTTCCTTTGAACGCCAGTCTGTACTCTTTGCTTTTCTTATGGATAAAGGAGAGTTTCTTATTTGAGAGATTTCACTGCAAGAAATAGGAGGTGGAAGTTCGGTCTGCTCTTGCCCTGAAAAAATTTCATCTGGCGGAGGGGGTAAATCTGTGGGCGGAGGAGGAAACTCCAAATCAGCTAACGACGGTTGAACGGATCTCGATGGGCTCGCAGTACGGAAATTAGAATTACTTGAAACCCGAAAAGTTCTTAAACCAACAGCATCAGACTGATTACTCTTTCTTACAGCTACTACTCGGCCACGGGGAGAATTTGGAGGTTGATAAGTATTAACAACACCGCTTGACGAATTACTACGAGTCATTTGAGGCTGACTTCGTAAATTACTTTGACGAGGAGAAAGTGATCTATGTTGTGAATTATCGATAGATGCTTCATGTTGTTCCACTGTACCAGATGTCATAGACGAAGCCACTGTCGTTGATTCCTGATTCGATGGCATACCACTCTGACGCAGAGATTCTAGATACGCGCCAATTCTAGCACCTTTTGGTAACGTACCGTAACGATTAATAGCTCTCTTCACGTTTTGTACTTCTAATGCACCGACTTGTACCAGCTAGAAATGAGATGAAAATTTAAATTTATATGACTATGAGTTTCAAAATTTTTCTAAAGTTATTTTAATGCTCCTTTGCAATAGAAAACTACCTTTTGTGGTAGTGGTTCTTTTGATGGATAAGGTCTTGGTTTAATTTGTTTTTGAGAACAGGTCAAGCCAGGTATAGGTTCCGGAGATGTTGAAGGTTGAGTGACAAAATTTGGTTCCGCCGTACCTTGAGAACCCTCTCCATCCTCCTCGATTTCACAGCCTCCTGCAGCAATTGTTCCTTGAGCCATTGTCGCGAGATCTCGCGCAATACCTGAGTTCCCATTTAACAACAAACCGTACCGGTACATATTCTTTTTCTGCTTAGAGTCCCTTCGCTGAGAGCGAACAAGCTTCCGTAAGCTCATATAACGAAATGCAAATAGTACATTTTGAAAATTAAAAGTAGACTTCCCATAGCATATGTTAAATTCTTTTCGCTAGTCTTAAATGTATTTGTTGAATTAACAAAAAGAAATCAGTAACAACAGATAATAGAAACAGAATTATCAAAATAAACTCGTCTTTTTTTGATCTATAATTTTTATTTTTTTCATCTCTAAATCAAAGAATATAAATGGAGAAAAAAAAAATCGAGCATATAAAAAGCTGGATACAGAGCTTACGGTAGGAAACTGAAGCAGTACGTGCACGTATCAGTACGCTTAATTAAAGTAGAATGAAAATACCTTCGAGAATCTTATCAATACCATTTAGATCCGTGGCATCGTCGAGTGTCATGGTGTTTGTTTCAGTGTTTTGAGAATCTTGCTCATGATAGGCAGAGTCGCGGAACGAACTGCACGACGACAGCAAGCTGTTACCCAATCGTAATGTTATCGTATCACCATATAATCAATATTTGTCGGTGTTTGAAATCTCGATTATGTGAAAGAAATTTAATGAAAGCAGATTTATGCGAGTAATATGGTAGATAAAGTATATTCCGTATGTGTATATACAATATTGAATTATTTACTTATTATTGTAACCAGATCTAAAAAAATTATAATAAACATGTAATAATCGAGGTTTCGTTACACCGAAAGCAAAAAAATTTCATACCTCGTTCTTTTCGGAGGGGCTGGAGCCTGTTTTCCCTTTTTATTTGTAGAACGTCTCATTTGTACGATACTGCTATTGTTTTTACTCGATATACCACCAGTGAACGTGCTCAATTTCGTTACTGAACTGGTAGTATCTATAACAAATAAATGGAGGATCGTAAACTGCTGTAATATAAAGAAGATCAACTTATTTTAAGTAAGCTGAAACGAGGATTGGGTTAATTTTGAACACATTTATACATTATAATATAGTGTCATCACAAAACCATATTCTACGAATTCCATACATGTATACCTGAAGAAGGTAATGGTTCAGAGACTAGAACGAGCCCATGGATATTTCCAGTGCTACCAGTCTGAGATTTTTTGTATGAAAGTAAGGGAATTTCTCCTCCTCCTTGCAACTGCTTTTCAACTTCTACAAAGTACAATTATCATATATTGCTTAGATGAATTATTTATATTTCGAAAACTATCTTTATCTTTAATGTTTATATAAAAATCGATAGGCTATTTTACCTTCTGTAATACTAGATTCTTGAAACATATTTTCAAGAGAATGATGAATTTCTTTGAAAGTAGGTCTGTCGGCAGCAGCCCACTGCCAACATTGCCGCATTAATTCATACACTTTTGGTGGACATCCCGGTGGACATTCCATTCTGTAACCTTTCTCCAGCATGTGATAAACATCCGTTAAATCGACACCAGGATAGGGGGACATTCCATAGGTTGCTATTTCCCAAAGTAAGATGCCAAATGCCCACACGTCAGACTACAAAAAACATCAGATGTAAATAAAATACAACTATAATGAAAAAAATTTTCAAAATTTTGTATTACGAGAAAGTTCATTTTACCTTGGTAGAAAATTTGTTATACGCTAATCCTTCTGGAGCAGTCCATTTTATTGGGAATTTCGCTCCAGCGTGAGCCGTGTATGTATCATCCCGCATCAACCGTGCCAAGCCAAAGTCTGCGACCTTCACCAGATGGTTTTCACCCACTAGGCAGTTTCGAGCCGCTAGATCTCTGTTTCGAAAGTCGCGATGTTAACGCGAGCTCGTTTCTTAAGAGGAGAGGACGATGAAATTTAAAACATTTCTCCTAACTAATTGAATGTATTTTTTTCGTGCAGTATATGCGTATCATAATCGTCACTGTAATCTGCCAAACTTTCCTTCAGTGATCCTTGTGACGCTACAAATCGCACCCTAAAAACAGCTACTTACAAGAAAAACACTTTAAGTGCAACGGTAACTTTTCGCCATAATACATACCAGTTTCAAAACTAATTCTTTGCCGATTACGAAACTATACTATTTTAAGACAAATAGTTATAATTTGCGAGATTGAAACAATCAGTTACTTCTCGATATGCATTATGTGAAAAAGTGAGCATTACATTTTATGTACTTTACTTGTTAGATCTTTTTAATGTTTCTTTTGCAAAACTTTAAATAATCCCCGGTAAAATTTTTAATTTGCTTAAAATTCTGAAATAAATATTCAAGTATTTTGCAATGAATAGTGTTGTATGACTAATTTATTCAGTAGTCATAGTGCATAAGATCGGTATAAAAATATGAAAATATACTTTCAAATAAATATAAATGAGATTAAATTAGGAAAATCGATTAAAATACATAACAAAATTATTTGAAAATTACATTCTTTATGAAATAGAAAAATACTAATAAGAGAGCTTTCGTTTTGTTCTCTTTTAAATGTGTGACAGCATGTATACCTTAGAGAGTCATGCATTTATTTCAAAGTACACAATACCTGTGAATGAAATTTCTGCTTTCCAAATAACTCATTCCACTGGCGATTTGCGTAGCCATATGCATCAAAACAACGGCATTGATTTGATGTTTGCTTTCATTCCGCAAATAATCTAGTAGATTTCCTTTACTCATGAATTCTGTAATGATGTAGAAAGGCGGCTCCCGAGTACATACACCTAATAGCTGAACTAGATTTCTGTGCTTCATTTCCTTCATAATTGCAGCTTCCTCAAGAAAGTCTTTTAGAGCCATAGTATCTTCCTGTAAAACAAAAATGTATAAAAGTAAATCAAAATAAGTAAAGTAAAAAATGACAAACTAGCGCATAAAAAACTGACCTTTAACGTTTTTACAGCCACAGTCATATTATACCTCTTCCATACAGCTTCATAGACATCTCCATATTGCCCTCCACCTAATTTATGCCTCATGACAATATCTGTCCTATTAATTTCCCATTCGTCAGGTTCTAAAATATATATTAATATATAATATAAAAACATATAATTATTTGAGCTTGTGATTTTCTATATACCTGGACTGAGTGGGAAAACAGTAGGTTTATTGTGCTTTGGTGCAGGATAAAGTAATTGGGTGATTAAACCATCAGCAAGCATTGAATGATGATGTACTAATTCTGCCAGAGTGTTAAATTTGCTTTCAGTTGTAACAAACATCTGAAATATTGATATTTCATAATATTATGTTTATGTCTTATTGGCGTAATTATTAGTATCAAGTATGAAATTTTATACCTTTCCTTCACTGTCTTCATTAATCCTATAATGGTATACCCTACCCTCATACCGCAGAGAAATACTACGTTGACCTGGGCTGCTTTCTGATTCACGAACCAGAAAGCTGCCATTTATACCAGAGCTTAGGAGATACTCTGCAGCATTCCTAGATATTCTTCCATGATACCAGGAGTGTTTCTCCAAAGAATTTACTGGGGTAACATAATTTGAAGGAACCCATCCTACTTGACCAGTACTTGAATGAGCTTCACACCACTCCCCACTTTTATTATAACTTAAAATACGAACTTGTTCTCCTAAATTCAAATAATTTATATTGTAACATAATTTCTTTTTTTTGCATCTTTATATTTATACGAGGCTCTTGTCTTCTCTAACTTTCTAATAAAACATTTATGAATTTTTTGACATTTAATTGTACTTTTACTTATGGAGTTCACAAATAAAAAAAAAAAAAAAAAAGAAACATACTGTACGTTTTCATAAAATGATCACCTTTTTTAAGACTGAGCTGATTTTCTCCACCTGCTTGAAAATCATATAAAGCCACAAATAATTGAGGATCATCTTCTTCCTGTGCCAATAAGTTTTCTTTACTTGTCCACCTATGAGATATTTTAATATTACAATTTAAATTATACATGACTTTTTCAAATACAAAACAGTTATAAAATTTTAAAAAATATGAAATATAAAATTTATATAAAAAATATATTTTTATGTTTAAATATTAGAATATGAAATATGTAATAAAATAATAAAATTATTTTAAAAAAGTAAAATTTTACCTGTTCGCAGCCTCTAGAAGTCCAGCAGAAGATACTACAGTATGTTGTTGAATATTCACTTGCTGTGAAATTGACTGAATACTGGACCCGTTTGGTGGATCACCGTCTGGTAATGCCGGAATGTGAGGTAGCGGTCTGCTTTGTAGAAGAGCTTCTGCACAACATCATAATACTGTTGTATGCATATGATTATAAATTAATGTGAGAAACTTAATGAAATTTAATATCATTATTTTGTTCTGCATTCTTTTCAAAAGAATTACGATACATCTGTTTTTCATAAACATTGAAAAAAATGCATCATGCAACTGAAAAATATTTATTTTTTCCACTCTTGAACACAATTATAAATTAACAATCAATAAAGAAAGAAATGAAAAATTATATATCAAAACGGCAGAAACAAAATTTACAATACAAATAGATATATTCATTGTAACAACTGAAAAACTCATTCAAGAATTTTATTTTCTCAACAATGTTATAACAAAAACGTTAACGTCAATTTAATAAAAAAAAAGTATATAAACACGTATATGTGCTTGTACTAATTATATAACTAAATTACAGCCTGCAGAGCTTAATTGTTTTATACACATCGATTGCCAGCGATTTTTATTTAATTTTTTTCCCAATTTTTCGCATTTGCGATCAGTTATGATTGTTCAAAGTGCGTGAACGCAAGTGAGAAACGAAACGAGACAGAGGACGAAAGTGCGAGGGAGAGAAATGAAAAAAAAGGAACGGAAGTAAGAAAGAAACAGAAGATAAAAGGCCAAAGTGAGTAGGGAGATATAAGAAAAGGAATTACCGCTGTGCTCTGTAAATATATTAGAGCCGACAAGACGAGACTCCTTGAGGTTCCTTGGCTGTTTGCGCGTTTGTCGCGCGGCAGAGCCGACAGGAACAATCCTCTCCTTAGTCTGTTGAGCACCCATAGTTCCCGAATTGGCATGCCCTTAGATTAATCCCGGCCGCAAAACTGCCGGGGCCGTTCACTCGGCACATTCACTTTCGGCCTGACAGTCTAACGTCCGATCGCATCTCTCGCCGGCCTCTGCCGACGACGAGAATACCCGAGATTCACCAATCCCACCGCGAAAGCGAACCTCCTATTCACATTTTTGACCACCACTCAGGATCGACATTCTCGCCATGTTTGACAGCTTCGACGTCGACGATAGCTCGATTCGCACCGTACTGTTTACTACTTTTACTTACCACCAGGTCGTTTCTCTGTCCTCATTGGACAATCAATTTCTCGCACAAGGATCTCATTGGCCAGTAGTTTTGTTCACCGATAACATCGTCCGAGCTCCAACTTCTTTGTTATTTATTTTCTCTCTCGTCTCATTTCCTTTCGTGAATGCTTTAATTTTCTAAAATATAGTCAATATTCTGAAAAGAATATTTAATTTGTCTGTTGTTTTACAAATTTACTACTAAATTCATATTTTTCAGATTTTACTATATTTTTAATTTGTTCGTTATTGTTATTTCTTTCTGTTCCATTTGTGAGAGAAATGCTAGTAAGAAAGGATCATCTATCAAATTTGATGATATTTCGTTAGTAACATAACTAAAAAATACTAGAGTATAGAAAAATATGTTTTGACCGTAATGTGCAAAGAGACACATGTGATAGCGTGGCGTTGACATGAATTATATGAAATTAATCATTGTATTATACAATCATATGATCGTGACTGTCCAATATACATTTTAACGTATCTATGATATTAAGTCAGAAAATACCATGGTTTTGGAACACGGCCAACGCTTATAAGATACGTCGATGACTGAAGCGACGGCAGCGCGATATCTGGAACCCGAACTTATTACGAATAACACGAAAAATCCCGAGGACTACCGAACTGACTCAGTGACGTCATGCTGGAGCAGAAGAGATAAGACAGTCAAAAAAGTGAAGTTCTGTTTTCTAATACATCCGCATTTCGTATAAATATCTTTGTTTGCTACGTAATTTCGAAAAATGTCGTACGCATACCTTTTCAAGTACATCATCATTGGAGATACAGGTAATTATTCAGTGCCTCCCTCGGATGAATCTCGACGATTTCTCTACATTCTATATTACGTCGACCGTGACAGGGTCTATTGTTTTCATTTCTTTCGACAATAATATTTTTGATTCGCAAACCTTACAACAGTTTTAGGAGTCGCAATGCATGTATTTTGCGATGGCGTTTGCATTATAAATTGAACATTTTTTTTAATATGACACCCGTACGCAGCTTCCTTTGTCTAATGATCTCATCAATTTGGAAAGTGTCGTATTTATTTATTTACCTTACGAGCAGATTTCACATTGAGTTTTTTGCATTCTGTACACGATATATTCAGGTGCTATTAAATATTAATAATTGTGAACTTGTCACAAATATAATATATTTTTACAGCATTATTGTTTGATTTGTTTATTTTGATATTTTGTTTATTTATTATATCAACATAATGTATCCTTAAACATTTTGTTTTGTTAATATAAATAACATGAATAAATAAATGTCTTTTAATGTTATATATATTTTAATTACGTGTTTCTTTTTAAATAATGTATATATATATATATATATATATATAGAACACGTGTAATCGTTATTTGTTAATTTTATGAAATATATTTCTAATCTGTAATAATCGTTTATCCTAAGAACATGTTTCTCTTAAACAGGAGTTGGAAAATCTTGTCTACTTCTGCAGTTTACTGATAAGAGATTCCAACCTGTTCATGATCTAACAATAGGCGTTGAGTTTGGAGCCCGTATGATTACAATTGATGGAAAACCAATCAAACTCCAAATTTGGGATACTGTAATTAATTATATTTTATTAAATTTATGAATACTTGTGGTAGTAAATTTTAAGAAACAATAATATGCTTATATTAAACTTGTAGGCAGGTCAGGAGGCATTTCGTTCCATTACAAGATCATATTATCGGGGAGCGGCTGGAGCTTTATTAGTATATGATATTACACGTAGAGAAACATTTAATCATTTGACCACCTGGTTGGAAGATGCAAGACAACATTCAAATTCCAATATGGTGATCATGTTAATTGGTAATAAGAGTGATCTGGATAATAGAAGGGAAGTAAGAAGAGAGGAAGGTGAAGCTTTTGCAAGAGAACATGGACTTGTTTTTATGGAAACCAGTGCAAAGACAGCAATCAATGTAGAAGATGCATTTATCAATACAGCAAAAGTAATTTATGAAAAAATTCAGGAAGGTGTATTTGACATAAATAATGAGGTAAAATTCAAGTCATTACTACAATGTTATATTTTTGATATTATACATTCTAATAAATTTTGAATGTATCTAGGCAAATGGTATTAAGATTGGGCCACAACATTCACCAACAAGTCCTAGTGGTTTAACAGGTACTGGTGGTCAAGGAAATACGCAAGGTGGTGGGTGCTGCTAGGGGCTGGGGGTCGCTTGTCCACCGCTTAATCCCTCTCCAATTTAAATTGATCTTTTTACTTCTACTCCTTATTTTATTCTCAACCAATTACTTTGTATATTTTTTTGCGCGTGTCGCATTACAAGGTAACAAGTGATTATTGGTGTATTTATTACTTAAAAAAAAAGGAGAACACATACATACATACATACTGAATAGGAATGTTATAAAGAAAAATATTATATATTGCTTAAATCAGAAAACCTAATAAAGTTTTAATTTACAGATTTTGGCTGTAAATTTATGTAAATGTATGTAAATTTATTAGTTTCAAACATGTTTTATGTATCCTTTGTAGCAATATAGTGATATAGTTCTTAAATTACATTCATAAAATAATAGATGCTTTTAGTATATACAGATAATTTTATTTTTAATATGCTAGAAAGGAATAAATATTATTTTATTGATACAGTGCTACATTAGATTTTTATTCATTTACATTTAAAGTTATTTAATTTTAATGTCAAAAAATCAAGAAAAAGTTAATTATACATTGGATACTGATAAAGCGGGAGAGGATAGGCACTTCTTAATGTTTTGTATTCGTTCACATTGTATATTGTATGTATCATGCACTGATCTTTGAAATATGATTTAATTTAATAATGAATCATAATTGATATATATATACAAATCAAAATGATTTGTCAAACATATGATTTACACTTGACTACCTAAGGCGACACCATGTATATGTATGTATCAATGTATGAAATGACGAATATATAAAAACGTATAAATCAATTTCATTGTGAGGCCTATCTAACCAAAAATCTTATTACTTTATTAATTACGATTGGTATTGTTATTTTTGGTGTGTCTTGCAAAATATAGTATTCTAATTACAACATTAAACTAAGACAATTTTATAATTTTTATATTTAAGTAAATACAATCGATAAATTTAAACTTTTAATGAAGATAAATTCTCTACTTATAACCACTAGTAGTAATACCAATCAAGAAAATAGAGAAATATTAATGCTATTTGTATTTTGTTTATTTAAATGTAAAAATAAATATAGCACATTTTTGTTTTGATTATAAGTTTAATATTTTTAAATAGAAAAAGTTCATACAAATAATCTATATTTATTTGTAAAGGAATTTATATTTATTTATATTATTTATAAAGGAGAAGAAATTATAAATTTTTATAAATTGCAATATACAATACACTTCTTTTCGAAATATGCTATGATGTTTTAAAAATATACTAAAGATAGATGTATATGTAATCTGATGTCAAATGGATGTAAAAATTGAAACTCGTCGCAACATGTATTCAATTTTTACACCTGTTTAAAATAATATTTATTGTACTGTAGTATCCTTAAAATTAAAATATGTATGTCAGCTTGAAGAAATATTATTATTATTTATTAATTAGTATTATTAAACGTTGTAAACGCATGATACATTGTCCGTCTATAATAAATTGGACTTATTTTTTTTATTGAAATATACACGAGCATATCATATATTTTACTTCATCGTTCCAATATGTATTCGACGATTTAATGTATTTGTCACAGTGTTATAATAGATTCGAATCGAATCTTTTATAATATGAATATTCATTTTGGCGAACTTATTGTCAAAGATGGATTAATTTATATAATTAAGATAATTAAGATTATTTCAATCTTATCTTATTAAATGGCGACTATTAGAATTAGACCCTCAAAATCTTTTTTTACTCGTTACATTAACTAGAAAAAAATTGATAAAATAAATATAACTAATAATAATGTGAATCAAATGATTAATGTACACTGGTTATTTTTAAAACCATTTATTGTATTCAACAATAAAAATAAACTTAGAAAAAAAAATACGCAGATGATTGTAATAAATATCATGTTTTTAATTGCCTAGGGATTTTAACGTTTTTCAAAATAAATTTGAAGGGCGTATTATGTATCTGTATGCATTTTGAAAGAAACTGAAACAGGGAAGATTAGAAGCGTCGTACCGGAAGGAGATAAACAATGTAGGAATAACGAAGTGATAGCGATACCAGCGAGAGAGGAAACAAGATGAGGTAATAAAAACGATAGAATTCAACGATTCGTATGAACGTGAGCGAGAAATGTAAAAGTAAATGTTACTTTACAAACAAGTTTACGCGCCAGCAGGTTTCACAAGTCAGCTACGCCATTGGAAGAGCGCTCGAAATAGCGGTTTGATACTGAATGCACGCTACTCCTATTGCTATATTCCAAGCGATTCCACTGTATTCTATCACACGCGCGGACGGGAAGCACGTATTTATTTCATATTTAATACGAAATCCCGATTTGTAATTGCAGTAATGTTATCTGGTTGTTATTTAACTTTCTTGTTGTTATCTTTAACATTTATCCATCGTATCTGATATCGTATCGCTGAATCCGCACGGCTCACCGTATCGATGCATTTCTAATCCGATCTCTAATTGAAAGAAATCAAATAGACGAATTGATCTGTCGTTTTGCCGCACTTTTCAAAGCCAGATACGTTAATATTTTAAAAGAAGTGCTAGTGCGCATTTATGAAGTTTCCGTTTTATGAAAGCCGGATCTATGCTACGTAATCTTTTGAAACAATTCGTGTATTGACGGGAGTAATGAATTTAACACATAATTGTGTTTTCTAACGAAGCAGAGATCTGGATTTAATGGCATAGGCCGCTGGAATAATCTTAGGTACGTAATGCAAGTTTCAATATTTAATTTTACGCTATATTTGCGAAATAAGCATTTAAGTGTATTAAAGCCTTTTAAGCGAGTGTAAGGTTATATCTTTGCCACTCGAGCTAAAAACTATCGTAAAAGCGTATTCTCTTCTCAAAGTGCACGAGTGCTTCAAACTATTAAAACTAGATGTGTACGATGAAAATGCGGTCCTTGACCTCGTTTCAACTCGTATATCGTTTCAATGCCTTTTATAGGTTAGGAAATGTGTTTATTATGATTGTACGTATTTGAGGCATTAAATTGTTGACACTGCCATTTCGATATAGATATTTAAACTTGATAAATTATTGTTTGCGAGGGACATTTATATTCGTTATTTTTGGCATTAGTATCGGAAATGTGATGTATACATCGTTCTAAGAAAAATCTGACATCAGCGAACGGGAAACCGCCTCTTTGATGTTCTTTCGTAATATACAGATGCATGTTATGTCGCATGCACCGCGATCTTTCATCAATGAATAAAGTTTTATTCAGACACACATACTTATATTTAATATTTATAAATGTTCCTGTCGCCGTACGGCGTATGTGCAAAGGAATTAAATGGAATATAACAAAATTATGCATATTCAATTTTTTAAGAAATGTTTACATCAACCAATGTACAAATGTTAACAGAATTAAAAAAAAAATGTAACAAAATTGCACGGGCTATATTCAGTTTTGCGACTTATATGAGAACGATTAAAATTACTAATTAATATTTGTACTTTTTTTATATGAACATAAAATTATATTGTTACTATCTGTACAAAATTTTAACTCTTGACAATCGCTTGAAAAGTTAAAAGAACAATAGGAATAACCGATGCCTCTACGGTCAAGGCCGTGTATTTAAATTGAACGAGTTCAATTCAACGCGATTACGATTTACGTCTCATTTTTTCTTTTTTTTAACAGAAAATTTAATCAAAACGTTATGTTTTCCGCCAAAAATAAATTCGTCAATATCGAAGGAAATGTTTGCACCAGTACAGATATCTACGATAGATTGAATAAGTATTGAATCGTTGACATTTCAAAACATTTCTGTATGATACAAACATGAAGTAACGATTCAAATTTCTTAAAATACGCGTGTGTGTATATATACATCTTACCAATGTATATTTTTAAACAATGAATTAGCAATTTATTGTTTATATTTTCTGTAGTTGAACGACGTGATTGCATGTCAGAGTGGAGTGTTTATTCCAGTTATTATCTTTTCTTCGCTGGTAGTTGATATACCGATATGTAGTGTTGCGATACACAGGGTCTTTGACTTGTGCTATAATGAACTACATTTCGCTTGGTTCATCTAAATGTACAAGCGCAACCAGTGAAGTACTTTCTGAATGAACGTAACCGTATAGCGGCACACTCTTTCTGGCACAAGGCATCGTTAACCGTACTAGTGCGGTGACACCACTCGGAGGGTTAATGAACATAAAAGACCCATCATTTGTACTTCCGAGATTGAACACTTCGAATACGTATTTTATCGGTTCAAAGAAAATTCTATTACAGCATATTTTCTACTTGTAGATTTTTTTTTTTTTTTTTTTTCAACAAAATGCACGTGACATGCAAAAATATTAATCTTCTCGGTTCATGGATCATGTCGATTTTCAGATGTTTGTGAAAAATTAGCTCTAAAATCGAACTGTATCGTTCGGATGATAGTGTTGTTATTTTATTTAATAAGATTGTACTGGTTAATCGTTTCATCTCTTTTATTATTGCTAAACGATATGCATATAAACTTACAATTAGCTTAAAATCGAAATGCTATTAGTTAAAGAGAGAAGAGCTGGATATTGTCAAATTAATAATTTCCCAGTTCAAGGTGTCTATTTTAAACGCGAATCTCCTGAAAATTTCACGTTTTTTGATTATCTTAGAAAATATCGATATGGTGTGTTCTAGTTTTAATTAATACGAACAATTTGGACAAAAAAATGATCCAAATTACACATTACATCCTGATGTGTCATTCTTCGTGAAGAATATTGTTAGCTGTGTATTTTTCAGGCAATGCGGAGCAATATAACGTTGTCGAGTGTGTTTGTTTAACGCATTTCGACGATGAGTGACGAGTTGCTGGAATGATGTTTTTCCATACAGACTGACCATTAAGATTCCTATTTACACGTGCTTTAATTTCTATCGCAGCTGTTGTACGCTATTATCATGACGAGTGTCGTTCCACTCACCGATAAACAACTTCACCAGCTGGTAAATGAATATCATTTAGAAATGTTCTCTCTCGTCTTTTCATCATCGACACTAAAATTTCCAAATGTTTCACAATTATCGAAAGTATGCAAGTTTTTCGATTGATTTTTATCCGATTTTAACAATGGAAACGCGTATAATTTTTTTAGCAGTTTTAGTGTTCACGGTAAAAGATAAATTTACGTAGAATATTGAATTATTGGTTGTAAATAAATTTTTAGAATTGTAACAAATGATCTTGTTTTTTTTAATTTTTAGAGCATCTCTATAGGGAAGGCTGTAAACCCTACGGAAACTCCCGTAAAAGAGAAACATGTGCGAAGTATCCTTTTTAATAAAAAGTTTTTCTTCGGAAAAGGGAAGATTAATTAATTCTTTGCACATGAAAAAGTATTCAGTCATTGCGTACAATTTATAGTAGAGATTCAAAGGATATTGCACTTTAAATTATAAAGTGTAAACGTGCATTAATAAATGGACAGATGATTTTTCCTTCATCTTTTTAATTGACGACTTCAAAGAGATACTGTGCAAAAGATTAATATTGTAATAATGTAGATTATTATAATTAATATTAATATTAGAAACTACTAATATATGATATATATTATATATATTATAATATTATTATGTTATATTATATAATATTATTATATTATAATATACATATATATATATATATTATATATTATACTCTATATAATATTAGAAACTACTTTTGTAGCAAAATTATTTTTGAAATTACTTGCATTATTATATATTTCTATATATTATTATTGCATATATATTATTTTTGAAATTACTTGCACATATACCTATATTATATATATTATTATATATTTCTAATATATATTAGAAACTATTTTTGTAGCAAAATTATTTTTGAAATTACTTGCATATATACCTTACAGAAACATAGGCGCGATTATAGGTACACATCAGGAAAAGGGTGGAATGATTTTTTGGACGTACATGTTGCGGCAGCCATTGCAAGAGAATCAAATTGTCGCATGGAAATTTTGTCACGTATTGCACAAGATACTGCGGGAGGGCCACGAGAAAGTGATTCCGGACTCCCAGCGGTATCGTAAAAGATTGGAGGACCTCGGGAAATTATGGCAACATTTGCGGGAAGGATATGGCCCATTGATTCAATTGTACATAAGATTACTGATCACTAAGTTAGATTTTCACAAGCGAAACCCACGCATACCCGGGAATCTTCAAGTAACACCGGAGGAACTTGAATCTATCGGGGAGAACGATATCAATGTTTAGTAAGTCTTTAATCGAACAATTTTACAGTAGAACTCCAGAGTATATAAACTGTTTGTACCTTGACTCGCAATTCTACTGTATTTGTATCTGTAATTTTTAGAACACAGTTTTATAATTCTTTTCTATTTGTTATACAGTTTCCAAATGTCGGTTGAAATGTTCGATTACATGGACGATATTTTGAATTTACAACGTGCAGGTAAGTACAGATCAGATTCTTGTCTATCATTTTTTTGGCAAAAAAAAAAAAAAAATCGATCGATGAGAAACAGATCATTCTCTTTACTCTTACCGTGTACCGCTGATATATTTTCTTCTTTTTTCAAATCATCATCTGAACTGATTGTACTGCAATAATTTTGGCCTGAAAATGTCGTTCGTGTTTGTAAAGTGAAAGCAACGCGGTATCAATTTAGGTTTCGTTGCTTTGATGTAATTAATCTACTCGAATCTCGATTGTCCAAATCGAATCGAATCGAGGCAGACCGGTTAAATTGAAATCTGCATGCTGGATAAATGAACGGAGCCGTCATTGTCGAATGAACAGAATAATTTACACGATGTCTCTTTGCTTTGTGAATTACCGATGAAAAATCTGACTGCCAAGGAAGATTCATGCTTCTGATTAAATCCAATATTGTGCATACAAATTGAAGAAAGTGAACTCGATACCTCGCGGTGTTTGAATGAACAAATAGGTACCATTAAACCGATTGATCTATTGTCTCAGCTATCGTGGAAATTTAGTGATCACTTCCGTGATCAAAACGTAAAATTTTCATCACAAAATTCTATTCTGTCGATGACCATTGTACATTTACGTTCGTATTAATTTATATGAATGAAACGTTTCAGTTACCACTTCTTTGAAGAATACACCCTCCAACTCGATGACGGTCAGTGGACAGTGTCGGCTGGCTCCACTAATCCCGTGCGTTTTAGACGCGTCGCAGCTTTATGATTATTGTGTAAAAATATTATTTAAACTTCACGGTGCTCTGCCTGCGGACACTTTAACCGGTCACCGGGACAGATTCTCTAAACAGTTTCAAGAACTGAAGAAATTCTACAATACTGTTAAACAGAGGCAGTATTTTAAGCATCTCATAACGATACCTGCATTACCTGAGGTAAGATTACTATAGTACCTAACTTGTAATACTTTAAATGTAATTGCTACGTATAATTTTTAATATCTCTACCAGAATCCACCAAACTTTTTAATACAATCCGAGTTTCGAGCTTATGTTACACCCATAGTAGTATTACCACCGGAGGAATCTTTGGATTCTGAAACTGTAGTTGATCTTATCGATACTTCTGATACAAATTCGTTACCGGGCGATCAACTGGATTCCACGCGAAACGGCTCGATTTCACCCGATGCGATAGCAGAAAGGTAAATTACAAAATTACTTCCGTGCGAAGTATATTTGAAATTCGAGACAAGAAGAGGATTAGATGAGGATATCGTTTGTTGTTTTAGAGAAAGTCTCATCGATCATTTGCAGCAACAGATCAATCGACAAAGACAAGAGTTACATCGTGTATTGACTGATCATCAGAAGATTGTCGGGGATCTTCAAACTCATCTCACTCAGTTGGAGTCGGATTTACTTCTTAAGGTGAAGATATCTTAATAATTTTCTTATTACCCTAATGATATTTTAACATGTATATTTTTTTTAGAATAATGAGATCGAACAGGAAAAACAAGTTAATCAAGATTTTGTAAAGCAGAAAGCAGATATGATGGTGAAGGTTCATGAAGGCGAAGGTTAGAGCATGCTATTTTCACTTGCATTGTTTAAATTATTGTGGAAAGCATTCGTAATACAATCTTTCTCCGTTTTAGAAAAGTACAAAATCTTACAAGAAAAATTTCAAAAATTAAAAGATGCATATTCAAAATTTAGAGAAGAACATATCAATTTAATCAGAAAGGTAGGATCTTCTTAAATTTCTAAAAATGTTGAATAAAAAAATATAAAATGTTGAATGTCTTTATGCAATAGAAAGCTGAAGTGGATAAACAGTTAGGAATGTTGAAAATGTCGCAAGAACAGTCTGAACGGCGAACGCTTGAAGCAGAACGTCGTCTTGAAGAATTAATACAAGGTCAAGCTATAACAGAGCAAGAAGCACAAAAGGCCGTTGAAGCTCAACACGATTTGGATGACGTAAAGCAACAATTGAATGACGCGAAAACTCAAAACTTGGTTAATACTTTTCTTTTTTTTCCTTCAGTTTGCGTTTACGTTTATTTTTATTTCGTTCCGGTAAAGATGTGATATTTTAGGCTTTGATTGCCAAAAATGATTTTATAACTTCTGAAAAAACGGCTTTAGAAGGAGATCTACATGATCTGCTAGCACAAAAAGAAGAGTTAGATTTAAAAATCGAAAAGTTAGAAGTTGAAGCCGAACGATGCCGTAATGAAATGAACACGTATGCGGATACCATGTTGCGTGAATTGTTGTGTAAGTATTTCGATTCGTTTGACAATTAAAGACGACTCATTTATTTAAACTGACGAATTTTTATTTCAGTAAATTGTATCTCTGAAGCGGAAGATATTATGCAATATTCATTGAATGCTATTGATAATCCCGCAATGTCGGATTTAACTTGCACTCCTCAATATCTTGAGAAACTGGCAGACCATATTCTAAAATTGTTGGATAATCTTGATGCAGCGTACACCGGTTATGTGTGTGATACAACGAATGGAAAAGTACTCATTAAAAGCGCGATACATGTTGCATATATTTTGGGGCTTTATATTATCCACGCTAAATCTACGTCCAATACTACGTCCAATATCGCGTTGGGTGATAGTAAGTTATGAATTGAGAAGGTTGACAGAAAATTAAAATTTAAAAAATATATATTGATTTTTTATTGTATCGTAGAATTGATTGATGAGTGTAAACAGTTAGGATTACAGTCACTAACTATGTTTAACCACATAAGAGAGAAATCACCCGTGACTGTGGGTCAAATCAACGAAGTAAAACAGCAATTTAAGAAAGTGTGTGAACTTGCAACTACGTTATCTAACGGGCAAGGCACTGTTGAAGTTATTGGAAATTTGGTTGAAATGGAATTATTAAGTATGGATAAAGCAATAGAAGAAGCTGCAAATAGAATACAAGTAATTGCCTTTTACATTTTATTATATACTATTTATTATATACTATTTATATGAAATCTTTCGTATACTATTTTTATACGAAATACTATATTTATAATGTTACAATTTAGGATATGTTGGAGAAATCTCGTGCAGCGGACTCAGGATTAAAATTAGAAGTGAATGGAAAAATTTTAGATTCATGTACAGAGTTAATGAAATGTATAAGAAAATTAGTTAAAAAATCACGATTACTGCAAGCAGAAATTGTAGAACAAGGAAAGGTAAATGCGTAACACCTATTTGATGTTGAATGATAATATCAGTGTTATTCGACATCAGTGCAAAACCATTTTATCTTTAATACGATATATAAATTCATCTTTAGTATCAAATAAAAATTAATTATCAAAATTCATTTTGATTTTTAGGGTACTGCCTCTGCAACGGAATTTTATAAACGTAATCATCAGTGGTCCGAAGGACTTATATCAGCGGCTAAAGCAGTAGCAATGGGTGCAAACCTTCTGCTGTAAGTACAAAGAGTTTGTTGCAATATTCGTTTGCTAACAAAATTTTACGTTTATTTTAATGTCTTGCAGAGAAGCTGCAGATAAAGTTGTTTCTGGAAATGGTAAATTTGAACAATTAGTAGTTGCTTCGCAGGGAATTGCTGCGTCTACAGCGCAATTGGTAGTTGCAAGTAGAGTAAAAGCCAATAGAAATAGCAGTAATCTATCGGCACTTTCCGAGGCATCAAGGGACGTAACACAAGCAACAGGAAGTGTTGTTGCAACTGCTAAAAACTGTAGTCAACTTGTTGAGGAAAATGGTAATTTCAAGTTTAGGGATATGTTTCAATATTTTTCAATTGTAATAAGAAATTAATATTATCAATATTTTACAGATGATTTAGATGTTTCTGGACTAACTTTACACCAAGCCAAACGATTAGAAATGGAAGCACAAGTACGTGTGCTGGAATTAGAGCAGGCTCTGGAGACTGAAAGATTACGCTTAGCTGCTTTACGTCGTTATCATTATCAACTTGAAGGTGAAAAAGAATAATCAGTATGTATAATTACGGTTCATTATTATAAATCATAATGTTAATTTCAAATAAGATATTTGCTATCTTATTGGTTCCAGATTTTTACTAACGTCCGTATGAGATTCGTGTTAATAACAGAAGCTCTCATAGGCATTAAACAGTATTGAACAATGTGTTTACACGTGGAAAGTAAATAATTAAATTCCATTATAAAATAATATATTGCAAGAAGGAAATCTATTTGGATTGTCCTAATTATTGTAATATTTGCATGTTTAATGTTTAATAAATACAATTTTATTTCTTTTTAATGAAAATTGAAAATATTTGAACAGGATGAAACTGTCTTTCACTTCACATGTACATATATTCTTTTGTTTTCCTATTTCTTATTGATCTCATCGTGTAGAGGTTGCTGCAAATGGAAATCAAACAAAAATCTTTATATATATATATCTTAAATAAATTCTCCTTTTAAAAAATGTTTAATTTCTCATCTGTCGTGCAAAACAGACAGCAGAAGTATTAAATAAGTTATTAATAATCTGTAAAAGATAATAAAATGATGAATATTATGCGTTTCGATGTTATGTTTTGACAATTAATTTAAGTCGTTTCGCGCCAAAACCGGGCTGCTTTCCCATTGGCTGATGTAGTGCGCCTGCCCGTTTGCTCAAAGCCGTGTACGAAATTGAAATATACGTGCGGCATTCAAAACCCCGGTCAACAAAGTAAAATAATTTCAAACCAAATGATCGTAAGAAATTTTTAAAGTTTTATTTTTTTAACGGTAAAAGACACGTGTGTATGTGTGTAGACGAACATATATAGTAATTTTAAGGTATGAATATATACTGTATAAAAAACTGTAGCATAGCAACTGTAGCACAAGGTTATAAGTTATTATTATAGACGAAATACAAAATTTTGTATTTTTACGACGTGTTATAAATATTGTAATGTCGTAGCATTGTTAATATCATGAGTATTACGCTATTTTCATCATTTTTCTGATAAATTCTCAAATTTAATTTCCATGTTTGTTGTAGCAAATCGTAGAGGGCGTGAGAAGCATTTTGATTTTCCCGAGGTCGGTATTTCAGAACGCGTACAAAGCGAAGTCCCATGTAAATATCACGTCTACTTTTACTCAATGTTACAATGTTGCTTTACATCGATGGATTGATAACATTGAAAATAAAACATTGAAAGGCCAAATTTTGGTACGATGTCATACCTATCTTATCTATGATTCGACGTTTAAGTATCGTCTCTATCAAGCAAATAACAAATTTTGATAGTCACATTCAAAAGACAAAGAAATAGAAAAAGAAAACGAGGCAGATATTACGCGATTGATATTTATTAAATTGTTTGTAAAGTAGCAGCGCGATAACAATCTCTCAGGTCCATGAATCCACTGATCCGTAGCTTGTTTGGAGTTCTCATAAGAACACACCGTTCTCGTTCTGTTCTAAAGAATACAGAATAAGGGGTTGGTACTTACAGGCCATGGACCTTGTGTACGTGCGATCGATGACATCCCTTCCATGGGTCGTGGTTCGACGTTGGATTTGCAGACTTTTCGGAGTCGGCGCGATGGTGGTTATCCGTGAAGCGCCCTCCATAGACACGATTTTACCTTCCACGGGAAATCTATCAGAATACAACGAAGGCTTGGTGTGTGATCGTCAGCTTTACGTGTTCTCGCGAGAGCATTCAATTGATCGCCTGTGAGAAAACCAGCTTTGCTTAACTGTACCACACATTAACATCACGTCAACGACACTGTCGGAAGGGTTAATTTGCAAGGTGAGGAATCATTGATTCGTTATTTTATAACAATCGCTTATAGATTCACAGCTAAGTTCGTGATAAAGTTGACGTCCCTATAATGGACGATCATAACGTAGGCGTTAGGTCCGGAAATTACACAAAGTCCTTCGACTTTCCGATACAGCGTTTCGACATTTGCTAATAAGTACATACGTGTCACTTATATGGGACGTAAATACACAGATGTAAGAAAGAAAAGAAAAAACATTGATTTATATTTTCATAATGTGAAATGAAAAGATACCATAAATAGGCGACAAGAAAATTCGTCGAATTGTTTCTTTTTAGACCTGATTGGCATTCCTCGAATTTGCTGACATTTTGCAAAGTTCAAAAATATCGGTCGTCTTGCAAATTCTTTTGCAGTTAATAATCAGAATGCAGGATACACGACAGAGTACTTCGTACGATAAAATGGACTATAACGTAATAATAAATTATTTTTATTGCATTATTGCAACTGAGCTTCGCTAACTTAATAAATTTAATAAATTTAAATTTTCACGCTATCTAATCGATCAATTTTCGAATAGGAAAGTAAAAGTAAACTAGCGGGAAAGAAAGTTGCTACTGGCAAGTCTGCGTGTCTGACAGACACTGCCGGTGCTTTCACGTAACCGATATCGTCAACAACGTGTCAAGCCAGAGTACTTGAACGATACTCGCTGAACAGCTGATTGAAACATAGAAACGCGACACGTATCAATTAATCGTTGTCCGCGAATCAGGCAAATAACTGCGATATATTTGTGAAATGGCAGTATTTTTCGAAAGCACATTCATCGACCTGTGACAATGTAAACAAAAGCAGAGCTTGCGCCGTAGCTAATCTGAGGTTCGCTTTGTCCGCTGTGTTTCAGCGCGTACAAAAGACACGCGCATACATAATTTTACTTTGCGCACGAAATTGGAGATTTAACCAAATTTTTATTAACACGTGATAATTCGAGTTCTAATGAGAGCGATCAATTTCGCACAGACACAGAGAAAGAATGAAACTGACATTTTACGATGTTATAAACGAGGTCTATGAATAAGCAACTATATGAATCATTTCTTAGGACACACATTTACGTGCCGTTGCTTTAATCGATTCATTAGCGGTTCGTTAATTTTTTCTGACGAACGAAGAGATTCGAGATCTGATTGTAACTTTCTAATATTAAGGTAGGTCGTCGTGGCGACTTGTGAAGAAGAACTTTGGCTTTCATTTAATAATCTCTTCGGTTCGCATATCAAAATGATGTGATATGTTTCCGATTGTTTTCTTCAAGGACAGGAAAAATTTAACAACGAAACTAACAAATGATTCTTGAGATTTGATAAAATAAAAATCTTATTAATCAGTCTGGGATGCATTTTTATGAAACGAAAAACCGCAGAAAGCAAACTTGTATAACAAGAATATTAATACAACAATATCAATCAACATGTATCGTAACGTTATAAAAATTATAATTAATTATAAATAATAGTATAATTATAACATAAATTATAATAGTATATATAGTATATATAATTATAACTATAATTATAATTTTTTTTATATATAATTATAATTATAATATTAGTATATATAATTATAATTATAATTATAATTTTTTTTTATATATAATTTTATAAATATAATTTTTTTTTATATTTAATTATATAAAATTATATATAATTATAGTTATAAAGTTATAATTATACATAATATTATAGTTATAATTATATATAATATTAATAGTTATAATTATATATAATTATAGTTATAAAGATTATAATTATAATATTATAGTATATATAATTATAACAATTATTATGATTATAATTACAAATATTATATTATAAAAAACTTATATATTCTTTTTAATTGCAACAGATGTTCCATAAGAAAAAAGAGAGTATTAGTATTTTTGATACAGAGAAGAATTTTTCACAAGAAAATGACTCAAAGTAGAATAGTAGAATAGTTCAAACTATCTTTCAGAGAAATATTTACGTTACGTATCACTTGGATAGCGTTATCGAAGCCCTATCATCAAAACATTAAATTTCTCCAATGCAAGTCTGAAACTTATCGTAAGCTTCTAAAAAATATCTGTATAAATACCAACATTGCGGATGAGGTAAAGTTCCTTTAATCTTCTTTTCACGTGGCTATTTTTTTTCGTTTAACCTCTTGCGCTGGAATGACGTGCCACGCACTGCAATATTTCCTCAGTTTTAAGTATATTGAAATACAACCCAGGCAAAATATGTAATAAATTTATTACTTCTTAGTAATTTCTATCCAATGATGTACCGATGAATTCAAAAAGAAGGCGAATTATTGTATACGGTTCGGTCACTCGTTATGGTCCGCGAACCAGTTACTAACGCAAGAGGTTAAACGTGATCGTTGACAAGATAAGGGAATCCAAAGTATATAAATACATACGCACACAGATGTGGTGCACGCTAGTTTTTCCAAATGCTTTCGCCAACTGTCAACTGTGGTATTGATTATCGCGTGAAACGAGGGATATTTGCGGTCGATAAAAGTTTTCTAACGGATGCAAGCCGCTTATTCGGGGGGATAAACATGACCACGGGCATTGTACTCGAGAAGGCGAGAGCGTGTCGAGCGGAGTGGCTCGGTTGAGCACGCGGATGCCTGCTGATGTGCACGTGATTCCAACGTGCCACGGTTCCACGGCATCGACCGAGTTCCCCCACCGTGTGTTCCACTGATGCAGTCTCGCACTATGCTATTTATGTACATCGGTTTCGTGATAAAAGCCTCGTTTTTACATTTCTGTCGTTGAAAGTGTTCGAAAAATCGAGATCGGCCAAGGCCCTGTTGCATAATTGAACTAATATTATCAATAAAATTCGCGCGTTCAACTCTATAAAAGAAAATTTCCGATTTTTACGGAATTCACGATTATTCATGTCTCATCTCTTTAGGATAAACAAAGCTCTTCATTTTTTTAAGAATTTGTCGAATTTCCATTGTCGAAATTGAGAGGAATAAGCGCGAGTGAGATTTTAGAACAGAGTTTTATAAATATCTAATTATTTTCTTTGAGTTAATCGAAGATTTTGGAGAACAAATTTGTTGCTTTATTGGTAAAAGCAGCATTTTCTTTCCGGTGGAAGATTCTCATCTGAAAATAGAGCCGCAATGCCACCTTGGATCGAATTTTATAAACGTCCACGCAATTTTTTGCTTACATGCGTAAAAATTTCACGAGAAACAGTCTCTTTTTTTTTTTTCATCAGTGGAAATAAAAGTTTCGTCGTATAATCTGGAAATTATCTGAAATCTGCGGTACAAAATTCAAGGGACTTACATTTATTTTTCGAACTGATTCGTGCGGAGAAATATACAACATTTTCTCACATCAGATATGGTAGCTCGAGGAAAATATTTTGTTGGTAAAATGTACGACTGATCTCTCCGATAAAAGAATATTTTTTGGTAGTGTCTCAGGGTAGAGGGTACGATTTGTTTTACTTTGTTGCGATTGATTCATGCATGTGTATCACGACGAGGGCATAAGATTATCGTGTGCAAATTTAGAAAGCAGCTACGTACCTTGTTTTGAATGTTTTGAATATCTTAAAATGTCGAATCAGATTGTAATGTTGCAGGGCATAAATCGCAATGAGAAATTGTTGAACGATTGAACTGTTCCAACGAAGGATTCCTAAACATCTCTTTAAAAACTATTTTGGCCCCGGACAAAACAAATTTGCGCTGCTTTGATCTGGAAATAGCTACACACTGCTGTTCTTTTTTTTTCTTTTTTTTTTTTTTTTGAGATTATGATTCACTGTTTTCTTCATCACAGCACACAGACCATATCGCGTGATAAAATTTGCAATAAAAACTATTGTATAATAGTGACTTGTACTCAAGATTATTCTTGATAGGAAAAAATTGTCTGATAGATACAGATGGGACATCTTCAGATTGCGTTTTGAAAACAAACGATTCTTATCAAATTATAAAATCACGAAATTACCGACATCGTAAACATGTTTTCAAACGACAAGGACAGATAAAGAAGAAGAGCAAATAAACAATAGACAAAAGTAGTCTAAGACGTGGGCTATTTTTAACGCTTCGTCGATAATCACGGATTATAGGTTATTATTATTAATATCATTATTGTTGCGAAGTGATAAATCGTATTGTAGAGTTTCTTTGTTTTCAAACAGCACTGAACGCATCGGCAATGGCCTCTTTGTCCTTTGGGAATGCAGGATGAGATCAGCTGCTTGTTGGTTTGTCCACAATGCATATGTACATTGTGATTGAATACATACATTTCTGTTGTTGCCGATCGTTTTAATTTAAATTGAAACTTTCAATTAAAAATTTTAATTTAATTTTCTAAAAAAATTATCCAGCTAAAAGATTATTCTGTACTTTTGCCTAAATTTTTAGTACCTCAGTAACGCCTTCGAGTTTCAGAAAAATATGAAAAATCGGATCTCAATACTTCTGCTAATGGATAAATGTTTTCTACGTTAATGGTCAAATAACACGCAGCTGTTAGATGAGACAATCTTAATGTCTGTAACTTTGAGACATCTTTTTTTCTCCAGAAATAATGTCAGTATCTTTAACCGTGATGGTAAAAAAATGGACGAGCGTAATATAAATTTAAACGGCTATTATTGAGGTGCTATTAGATCGTAATTTCTGCGTGCGACGTGTTTTATTTCTGGCTTATGTTCCTTTCGAAAAGAGAGCATAATATGACGTGATAATTTTTATCATCGATCGAATCTATTTTGAGTATCGATAGAGGTGATTGTGTGAGATTGTCATCGCGAAAAGAAGAACTTGATCTCCTCTTAATTTGAACAAAACGAGCTTTGATTCCAAGTGATTAATTTGTGTCATTAATATTTAATTAATCGTCGAATAAACATTAGATTATTCACTTCGGTCACGATTTGTAACGAGCGCAAAATATCAGACGAGGGAGTGGCGTTAATCTTAAAATTAACAGATACCTTTAAATCGTATTTGAAACACAAATACACTTAAATCTCGCTGAAACGAAATTTATCATCGTGATTTCGATTATTTATCAGATAAATACGTATTGGCCAGATATATCTTCTATTATCAAATGGCTCGAATTGTTGAAGTCTTTTATTGCATAAGATTATTAGACACACGGTCTAATAATTTGTAAAATACACGTTTATGTAACGAAGAAACTTCAAACAGCTCTACTCTTTATAGAAGATAAAACAAAGAATGATCAATCTCAATCTGGGAATAGGAGCCTTGGCAAAGTAGCGCTTTCTTGGAAAACAAAGTAATGAGTGACAAAGAATAAGTAATTCACGTGTCAAAGTAGTAACTGTGTTTTTGTTTTCTTCGCGTGTGAGAAACACTTTCTTGCGCGATGCAAGCTGCGTCGAGGCATTGTGCACCTTGAAACCAAGGATAATGATATTCGTGATGCATTTTTGACCCAGTTTTCTATGTGAAAACAATCCAACCGTAGTATAATATTTCTCTTCTTTCTAGAAATTCGTTTTTGAAATATCACCGAGGCAGTTGCTTAGAAATTGGCAAAGTTACTAAAATTGCTACATTTAACTCTTAAATAGTATTTTTACAGGAAATTTCTACGGGCTGAAGATATCCTCAAGGAAAAAAAAATAGATATCCTCAAAGAAAAAAAAAAAAAAAAAGAATGAATTAAAAAGAATCATTCGAAAAAATGCTGTAAAAATATTTAAAAAACGCGGAGGCAGGAGATTAAACATGCAGTATTCTCGTTCGCATTGTCGTGCTCGTGTCAGAGGGAAAAATAGACCTTTGTTCGTTAGGTGAAACAGTCAAGGACGCTACCAGGATTGGAAAATACCGTAAAATAATTCTCGTCCGCATTTGCGACACTTGTCTTCACGTTGCGTGAAGTAGATGTTTCCGGGATCCAGACAAACTGTCTGTCTCGGTCTATTTCCGCGTGTTCGACATAAACTGTAAGTTTCGTAAGTGCGATAACGATACCATGGCGAAACACACGATCTATGAATGCTAACAGATGGAGTTAGTTAAGCAACGGAGGCGTTGACGTTATCGCGCGGTGTTGTCATCGAATTGTTTTGATCATCACAACAGATTGATAAAGAATCTGCGTTGCATTACGTTGCGTTACTCTGACGATTAATTTAGCAAATTCCCTTTAATTAACCCACTCACAATTGCGGTATTACAGTAACCATCGTGATTGAGAAAGATCATAGTTCCTCTTTTTTTCTTCCTATTTCTGTATCTTCTCTTTTATTCTTGTCTCTGTATCTTCTTTTTTCTTCTTGTTTCTATGTCTTCTCTTTTATTCTTGTTTCTGTATCTGCTCTTTTCTTCTTATTTCTGTATCTTCTTTTTTCTTCTTGTTTCTGTATCTTTTTCTTTCTCCTTTTTTCTCCTTGTTTCTGTATCTTCTTTTTTCTGTATCTCCTTTTTTCATCTTGTTTTTCTATCTTTTTTTCTTGTTTCTGTATGTTCTTTTTTTCTCCTTATTTCTGTATATTCTTTTTTCTTTTTGTTTCTACATCTTTTTTCTTTTTATTTCTGTATTTTCTTCTTTTTCTTATTTCTGTATCTTCTTTTGTCTTCTTGTTTCTGTATCTTTTTTTTCTTCTTTTTTCTTCTTGTTCCTGTATCTCTTTTCTCTTCTTGTTTCTGTATCTTCTTTTTTTTCCTTATTTCTGTATATTCTTTTTTCTTCTTGTTTCTATATCTCTTTTTTCTTCTTGTTTCTGTATATTCTTTTTTCTTCTTGTTTCTATATCTTCTTTTTTCTTTTTATTTCTGTATATTCTTTTTCCTTCTTGTTCCTGTATCTCCTTTTTTCTTTTTTATTTCTGTATTTTCTTCTTTTTCTTATTTCTATATCGTCTTTTTTCTTCTTATTTCTACATCTTTTTATTTCTGCATCTTCTTTCTTTCTTCTTGTTTCTGTATTTTCTCACAAACAAATTTACTACGCCCGATCGTTTTTTAATGCACACATACGTAACGCAAGGACTAGGATCGTCTCGTTGATGTCTTATTCTACTTCCACCCTGTTCCTTCTGTTTCTTTCCATCGGCGACCGGTTTTCGAATCGGGCAATTATCAATCGTGTCACCGCTGCGCCGGGAAATGTGACGGGAAAATCCTCGTTTTTCATCACAGTCATTCCCCCCCTCCCTTCTCGTTCTCGTGTTTTTGCCTTCGAAAGTTGTCGAGAAACTTGCTGCACGACTATTTTTCGTACGTTTCGACGGACGAACGTTTAACCTGAATTTCGTTAATTTCTCTCGCGCTTCTAACAATTTGTTATTACGATCTTTCGTTTGAAACGTTTGTTGGCTCGTGTCAAGGCCGACTTGCACATACATACGTGGTCACTCGCAATCGAGTGAGCTGTTTCTGTGCGTTGTGCCGCTGAAACGTTCTTCTTTTCGTTCGAACGATTATCTCTCTTCGTAAACATATTTTTGTTCCCCGTTTAATGTCGACGTGTAATGTCAAATTTCGTACGAGAAGTCGTAAATAAATATTTTTTTTACCGTTATCGTTATCGCTGCCATTGAAAATACGCAAACTGGTACGATTTAATGCACGATGATCCACGTTCGCGACGTTCCTCCAGAGGAGGATCTATCTGGAAAATGAAATTCCAGCGTCGAGGCGAATCTTATCTGAAAGCATTTAGCGACAATTTGTTCGCGAGCCCGTATGACGTACGATAAATATTGGACGAACATCGATCATCGCTGAATTGATAAGGATGACGTCACCGCTTGATCGGTAGTAAACGCGCTGTTTAATCAAGACAGAGCAACGCGATTTTTTTTTTTACGAGCGCAACCATATGCAGACGAAATCGTACGACATATTAACACGTCAAGTTCATATGTTTCGATCGTCGCTGTTTGCATTTTTGGAATACTGAGAAAATCCATTCTTAGACAACAAGAGGAGAAACAAATTCTAACAAATCATTGCCACCTTTTGAAACGATCGAATCTATTCAAAGTTTATTACAAGACTGCTTATTCGAAGACTAAATTTCAGCCGCTGCGGCCGTTTTTAGGAAAGCTTTTGCGTGAAAGCAACAAGTTTTAAAATTAACAGTTTCTCAGTAACAGGGTCTTCTATCGCCATAAATATAGTCATTTATCGAATCCTCTTCGAACACCACGGAATCTGATCGGCAAATATAATGTCAGAAGAAATCGGAATCGTTCCTTTCTCCAACTGGACGAAATTGATCTACAATCGCATAGATTTTAAGTTAAATCGCGACGAACATAGTCTGTTTATGTTTTCTTTTTTTTTTTTTTTTTTTTTAGCAAGGAAAACAGAAAGAAGGCTTTGAAAAATATTAACACGTATATCACACTCAAGGCGGCCCCTTTGGTCGCTTTGTGCGTTCGCTGAATCTGCTTGCCGATTTCATCAAAAAGCTCGAAGACGTATAAATAACCATATTCCGAACGAATATCGATCACCCTGTTCAGCAAAGTTGAAGTTTTAAGTATAGAACAGTTGATCGATAATGTGACTGTTGTAACATAATGAATATCAATCATGTTTCAAGTCACTTTTAATAAATAATAATAATAATAAAGTAATAATAATAATAATAATAATAATAATAATAAAGTAATAATAATAATAATAATAATAATAATAATAATAATAATAATAATAATAATAATAATAATAATAATAATAAAGTAATAATTGCAATTATTATTATCTGGACCATCATTATCTGAATATCTGGAAATTGATAACTATATCAGGTGCTTCTGTTGCACTCTCATGGCATGCGTGCAATTCAGTATGTTCAGCGTTTATCTATTAACTATAAGAAAGCTAATATTACAAACATAAGAAACGTAAGAAAATAATAATAATAAGAAATGCAAGAAAATAACAAATAATAATAACGAATATAAACGAATTACGAATGTAGAATAATGTAAGAAAACAAATGTAAGAAAATTACAAATGTTTCATTTTAGTAGGGAAATCATTGTGTTTCAATGATATTGTGTATGATATTGTATATTTCAAATATAACAAATTAAGAAAATAACAAAAGTAGCAATAATAAGAAATACAAGAAAGCAACAAATCATATACAAATATAAGAAAATTGCAAACGTTTCGCTTTAACGGAAAGATCATTGTGTTTAAGCGTGAATGACAGTCTCGGAATTACAATTACTGGAAATCTAAAAAGGAAATCTAAATCCACCTGTCTTGGAAAATATTCTAATAAATCATTATTTCCATCCTGTTGTTAACAGGGCTGATACGTCGAAGATTATCGGGAATATCTTTGCAAATTTTCCAACAGGATATAATTATAATCAAGCAAATTCTCGCCTGCACGCTTTTAAATATAGATTTGCGCTTTGGCTGTATGTGAATTTTAGTTGAGGTTTCCTCGACTGAAACGAGCCTAATGTTCGAGTCCTAATGTCTCGTCGATCGTCACTCGAAAAAAAGGAGCAAATGTAAAGGGAACGGGGAATTATATATATTAATAAATATTTATAAAAATATTATTTTAACATATTAGTGTTTTAAATTTAGAATTTGAGTAAATTATACAAATTATAATAGATAATAATTTTAATTATAAATTATATTATATTAATATTAATAGTAATAGTAATATTAAGAGTTGCATTTTTAACTTTATTTGAACGAAAAATTTTAAGTTATATACAAAATCGAAAAGGTCCTAATAAATTACTATTTAAATATTTATTAAAGGTTTATTTCAACCTTTTAGTGATATATTAAAATTAATTTTTAAGGAAATATCTTATTTAAGATTAAATAAAATATTTTATTGTAGACCAATGATGACAATTTATTGCGTAAATTGCAGGCAACACAGAGCGTTGAAACTTACTTTTCTTCACTCGCAAACATGGAATAAAAATTTCACGGAAGAACCAGGAAAGAGAGAGAGAGAGAGAGAGAGAGAGAGAGAGAGAGAGAGAGAGAGAGAGAGAGAGAGAGAGTGATCATCGCGATTTTTCCCAAATAATCCTCGCGATTGAGTCACAATGAAACGTTATAAATTTTTGTATAATATTTATAATAACAACAATCATTATTGAGAAAAATTATTTTCAATTTCGAATTTATAATTTTTCATTTATAAATTTACTAGAAATTTATAAGTATTTTGTTATTAAAATATTTTTAATTTAGGTTTTATTTTTAATTTAATTTCATTAATAAAATAATTTTAGTTTTCTTAAAAAATTTTATTTTTATAATTAATATATATAAAATTATTGTTTTTTTATTTAATAAAATTTTTAAATAATTCGGAAATTATATTTTCCAATATTATAATCTTATTTTCAATATTAAATATAAAATTAATGTTTGATAAAATTTCATTGTATTTAATTTTTGTAATATATTTACATTTAATATTAATTTTTATATTATATTAATATATATACATATATATTTATATAATATTTAAATAGCTTATATGTATATACAGAGCATAATATTGAAAATATTAGTGAAATTAAAAATTTTTTTATATTGAAAATATAATGTTTTAAATAAACTATATATTTAGAAATAAAGATATTTATACCGAATTATAAAGTTAGAAGCTTCAATTTTTTTATTTCACGTTAAATTAGAATTTTACTCAATAATTTTATTAACAATAAAACGCCCCTTTTTGGCTTGAATTGGAAATAAAATATAAAGTTACACTTCGTTGATAATATGTTTCGAGAAACAGGTGTACAACTGCATTAATTTTTAGATATGTCGTTCGTATTTTAAGCAAAATGTACGTGCAACAGGGCGCCGATGTTGGGACACGTCAACGCGAGAATCCGTGGTTTCCAGAAGCAGAAATAATCGAAGAGTTAACAGCGACGATAGTCGAAAGAAAAAAAAAAAGAAGAAAAAAAAGAACACGAGCTATCTCCGCCTCATTCATGCGTCTATCACGACGCACTGGACGAACGCGAGGGCGTTCGACATAGGAGAAAAACAGAGGTTGCACGTGGTGCGCGAATGCTCGTACCTGCTCACGTTCCGTTTCTTCTCTCGCCCCCTACCCACCGTCTGCTTTTCTGCCTACCATGACTAACACAGAACCCAATCGAGAAAGCTCGCCGCGGTATAAAAGTGAACGAGCCTCGCCGCGTTCCCACTAGTACGTTTTACGCGCTCGTCGTGGAACGAGTCCCGTGTTCGTTTCATTTTCCCTCGACCTCTTTGAAGGAACAGAGTTAGTTCTCCTCTCTCGCTCATCTGCTTCTTTCCCTACGAATCCTTCACCCGAAAGTGAAGTGAGCGTGTAGAAATTACGAACAGTCGAGAATCGTCTGCGAGTGATCCTCCCATCCGAGGGAAACTGAGAGTTCAAGACTCACTGAAAACGACGGCAGGGAGAAGTGTTTATCAGTTGATAATAAGTTGAAAGGGTTGTGAGACAAAGGAGAAGAATGCCAGTTGAATTGGAGCCAGTTGCACCGGTCACGCACAAGCCGTGTTCACCTTGCAATGGGTATGCACGAGATTTTACGGTGAACTATGTATTAAAATTGAGCATACGCAAGTGTAAAATTGCCCCCCGATTATCTCGATATGTATCTACGACATATATATGTATATACAAAAATTAGGGGATATTTGAATACGAAGCGATGAAAAAAAGAAGCATTTAATTTTTTTTTTATTATCTTATTATTTTATTATATATTATATATTATATATTATATTATTTTATTATATATTATATATTATATATTATATATTATATTATTTTATTATATATTATATATTATATATTATATTATTTTATTATATATTATATATTATATATTATATATTATATTATTNTTATTATATATTATATATTATATATTATATTATTTTATTATATATTATATATTATATATTATATATTATATTATTTTATCATATAAACAAGAAAATCAGAAAAGCAAACGACGAAATACTTTCTGATGTTCTTGTTTAATAAAAAGAAAAAAATCAAATTCTTTTTTTTATCGTTTCATACTCATTTTGAATCATATCCCCCAATTTTTGGTGAGCGATGTATATTCAGTTGTAAATGTATCTCGATGGAGTCTTGTGTAAGAGGCAACAGCTGACGTTCAGGCTCGAGTTAACGGTGTGCTTCCGCTTCTAATTTCCTCTGCTCGAGAATTCCCTTGACACGACGTTTGCAATTTTCTGGTGTCAAGCAAATTTAGAGAGTCGTTCATTTGTAAATTCTTCTTTTACATTCCAGACACATTTATAAAATACACATAGTATTTATGTTCGTAAAAGTAAACTTGCATAAAAATGGTAACCTATCTATATAGGTGGTAAAAATCATTTTCTACTGATAAGATAAATCCGTAATTTTCCTGTTACATATTTTTTCCAATGTTCGAAAGAAACAATTTTTAAATACACGACGCAAGAAATTATCACTTCCAACTTGAATTCAATTTAAACGAACGAGATTAGCTTTTTCTTGCATTTGGCCGTTTCATTAAAAGATAACAGGGTAGAAAGAAACTTTTCGCCCGCCCTGTACATTCAGACTTTGCTCATCGCTTCATTCTCGTCTCTCGTTTCGCTTTCCAGAGAGAAGAAGATGAATAAGCTGTGCAGGCAGGTGTCGATCGACAGCCCGAGCGTGACGGGCCGTGAATGGGTGTTCAGCTTCGACGTCCCGGTGCCGGACGTGCCGGCGCACGGTGCCCGGATCCGCGTGATGTGCGCGGGCGCTTGTTACCATCCTCGTCGTTCGCCGAGCCTGTCTAGCCTGACCTCCGTCAGCAGCGGAAGCAGCTTGGCGACGGAAGTCTCTTTAGAGGGCGACTTCCCGGTATCGTTGCCCCACCACGGAGTCCGCGACGCGGCCCTGTTCCCCGGCTACGAAGTCGCTGGAGTGATCGAGTCGCTTGGGGCGAACGTTCCGGAGGATTGCGGTTACACGGTCGGGGACCGAGTGATCCTCTACCCTTATGAGGGCATACCAAACGGATACGTCGAGTACCTGGTCGTTCACGATCTCAAGTACCTCATCAAGATCCCTGACAACGTTAGCCTAAGCGTGGCGGCCATGCTGCCAGCCGGCGCTCTCTTGGCGATGAACACCGTATTCGCTGCCCACGAGCACGTGCAAGCGCTGCTGAAGCAGAGGGGCGAGAAGAGCGTCTGCAAGATCTTGATCGTTGGCACCGGCGGTTTGGCACTCTGGGCGCTCAGGATCGCGGCCTACCACTTCAGCAACATGAAGGACAGGGTCACCATCACCATCGCCTCGTTGAAGGACGACGGGCTGACTATGGCCCAGGAGTTCCAACGGTGAGTTATTTTGGTCAGTTCGTCCCGTACGACGTTGATGTTAGATGCTAGAGATTGTGAATGTTGATAATTAATTAATAAGTGATCATTGTCTTCTTTGCAACGAAGAAACGACAGCCTTCGAGGGTAACGATATTCCTGGCGATATTCGATATTTCGATCGATACACGTCGCACGATTTTTACGACTACAAGTTCAACCCCTTGCGCTGGCAACTGATTCGCGGACCATAACGAGCGACCGAATTGTACGTCGCTTTCTTTTTGAACTCGTCGGTATGGTATCACTGGATAGAAATTAGTGAAAAGTAATTTAACAAATTTATTATTTGTTTTACCTGGATTATACTTAAATATATTTAATGAATACTGAGGAAATATTGTAATTTTGGTACAAAAAGAAATTCTCGACGTGCGTAAGAGGTTAACTATTTGCGCTGGCAACTGATTGCGGACCATAACGAATGTCCGAACCGTACACAATAATTCGTCGCTTTCTTTTTGAACTCGTCAGTATGATATCACTGGATAGAAATTAGTGAAAAGTAATTTAACAAATTTATTATTTGTTTTACCTGGATTATACTTAAATATATTTGATGAATACTGAGGAAATATTGCAATTTTGGTACAAAAAGAAATTCTCGACGTGCGTAAGAGGTTAACCACTTGCGCTGGCAACTGATTGCGGACCATAACGAATGTCCGAACCGTACACAATAATTCGTCGCTTTCTTTTTGAACTCGTCAGTATGATATCACTGGATAGAAATTAGTGAAAAGTAATTTAACAAATTTATTATTTGTTTTACCTGGATTATACTTAAATATATTTGATGAATACTGAGGAAATATTGCAATTTTGGTACAAAAAGAAATTCTCGACGTGCGTAAGAGGTTAACCACTTGCGCTGGTAACTGATTGCGGACCATAACGAGTGATCAAATACAAACCGTATACAATTCGTCGCTTTCTTTTTGAACTCGTCAATATGATATCACTGGATAGAAATTATTGAGAAGTTATCATTTGTTTGTACCTGGGTTACATTTAAATATACTTAAAACTGAGGAAATATTGCAAATCTTGGGACAAAAAATTGTCGACGTGATTCCAGCGCAAGAGGTTAAGCAATAGTGTATCTATCGAGAAACGTGTATATGGAATATTTCACTCCAGGATCGACCGACTTGGGAATTGACTTTCTCTCGAAGCTACGTTGCATTTGATCGTTAGATGCATGTTAGATCATTCGTCGTTGATCTTTGAACCAGACAGCTGACAATGCTCGACCGATCTCTATTATCGGAATTGGTTTGTTGCTCGAGCAAATTGACCGTGTCAACTCCAATGATAAAGTCATTTAGATACATCGATTTTCCTCTTCGATTCCATTTATTTTTTTCCACGTAGTTGCATAGATTCGTCGTATCTCGTGTCATTTCCGCATGTTTATTTTTACCCTCGGATCCCAATTTCTAATTATCACATTGTTGTGTTTCATTTGCACGTAGTGCGGCTTTGAGCACATTGTTGGTAGAAATCTGTTCTTCAATATTGATGGAAAATCCGAATCAAGGATCGTGCAGTGAAACATTGCAAGCTTATTAAAAAAAAAACACAAGTGCAGAGTATATTACATAGTAATTCGTAGAGTAGTTTAGAAAAAAAAGTTGGTGCATTAGAGTAATACAGGGTGGCCACTGAAAAGCTGAAGGGTTTGAAAAAGTCATAACTTGTTCATTTTCAATCTTTATTTTCTTTTTTCTGTAGGTTAATTATATTAATTATATTTCCAAATAAAGTAATAAAAAAATCTAGAAAACGTGTTTGTAAAATATATTTCCAAATATATATATTTATATATTATAATTATTATTACAGTAATAATATTATAATTATATATATTAATATTTATATATTTATATTCGGAAATATAATTATTGGGAATATATAAATTATTTAATATAAATTGAATATTTATATTTCCAAATAAAACAATAAAAAAATTAAAAAAAACACGTGTTTGTAAAATACATTTCTATAATTATATTTCCAAATAAAGTGATAAAAAAATTGAAAAGAAAAAAAAAAAAAACACGTGCTTGTAAAAGTTACCTTTGTTCCGTATCATTCAGTCTTTCAGTAATCACCGTACATTACAATAGAGTAGGTTCAGAGAAACAAACTGAGATAGCCTGAGAATAACCGAGTCCATCCGCGTCCCTCCTGTAGTCCATCCGATTTATTCACCAACAGTCTCCTTTCTCGGTACAGGGTGAACGTGGTACAGTGGAGCGAGGATCTGTACGAGAAACAGCTGATCGAGCGTACGATGGACGCGTGTCAAGGCCACGTGGACGTGGTGATCGATTTCGGGACGACGTCGCGCAGCCTTCACCGCAGCATGCAGTGCCTGAGCAAGGGAGGGGTGGTGTTCGTGATCAAGGAGGTGGCCGATCGATTGCTGCCAAAGTTCAGCAGACGGGCGGAGGAATGGCAGCAGAGTATCAAGCCGGTGGAGCCTGGCACTCTGGAGCAGTTACACGAGTTGGTCGAGCTGGTGGCCTCCGGGGAGATCGAGCCGCCACCGCACACCGTTTACCCCGCGGAGGAGGTGCTCGACGTGGTCCGCAAGCTGTGCCACTCCGAGATACAGGGTCGCGCGATCCTCCGTTTCTATCCAGCGGACTAAAGGGCTTCTCGCACCGGGCTAGGACATCCTGTGCCGCGCGGATCGGCACGAGAGAAAGAAGTGAATCGACAGAGGAAGAGAAGATTGGAAGCGGATTGCCAGGATCAACTTCGGTTAGACTAGGTAACGGAGGGGCCGAGGTGAACATGGCTGGAGCACACGTCCGGGAGCACCGACGAATTTCACAGAAGAGTCGTCGAGAGCACGAGCCGAATTTTATGAAGCTTTTTCCGTACACGCGAGACGCAACGAGGGAGCGTGACGCAACGAGAGTATAACACGGCTATATAGGTTTCTCTCTTACGGAGAATTAGCGTTGAAACGATTATAATCCTTGGAACGAAACGAACACGATGCACCGCGTACATCGCTGCGTATATTTATCAACGACATGTATCGTACGACGGCGATTATCTTTCGATTCGTGTCGACACGCGTAGATATTACGTACGTATCGTTGCTCTGTTTACCGATAACAGCAACACTTGACTCGCGTCTTTCGTTTCTTTCGAGGCCGTTTGATCACGCTTCCGAGGAATTTGTTGGAAACACGTATTGCCACGTAGTGTAGCAAAGAGGTATTCGAGAAACGACGATGCGGAGAGAAAGTCCGAGCGTTTGAATCGGATGTACCGTTATCATCGGTTTGTACGCGCACGGGATCTCCCGTTGATTTTTTCTTTTTTTTTTTCTTCGCTGCTTTCACTCGAGAGCATTTCATTTTCCACTTGAGAATTTTGATAACCTGACGAACAATGTTTTAATATCGAGTATTTTTAACGTTCGAGCTCAGTGAATGAAACGTAACCTGTAGTAGAAATAATGTACGTATATTGGAGAGAACGTTTCTGAATACCTTACCTAACTATTGGACAAAGTTATCGATTAATAACTGACCTTAAGTTAAGCCTCGGATTTAGATTTTAATCTTACTTGGATGTAAGAACGAACAAGTGTAACGTATATAAGTTCGATGTCATCAGAAGACGATTAATGGTACTGTTAAATATTTAACGTCAATTGAATCGCAATCATCGTTTATGGTTTCGCGTTTTTAATGTGTAAACACCGGCCTGCAATTGTTCATCGAGTACCTAGTCGGAAGACGATCGGTACTCACCATTCAGAGCAGAGACTTTGTAATCGTAGATGACGTAGATGACGTACTCAAAATGCATTTTTGCAACGTGCACTCGGGATATATTCGAATAAACCAAAACGTACGGAGGGACAACACTTCTCCTAATCTCGTTAGGAACAATGAAGAATCATATCTGCCGGCGGTTTTACAAAACGAAACTGTAACCTCCACGCAAGAAGAAACGTTGCTTCACAACTATTAAACTAGTAGATTTGGTAAACGTTTTTGCGTTTAGCGTAACATTTATAAGATATATTGGTCTCGTAAACGGGACACACGAGAATTACCTTCGTCGAACGCGTTGTCGCACGTTGGAGGGCATTTTCGCGAGGATTATCCTTAGGCATCAGTATTTCCTTTCTCACGTAGCGCAATTTTTAGGATTAAGTTGATCGTTTTGTGGCGGGTACAAAAGAAATACACGAAACCACGTATGCCACGTACGCAGTTACGTCGCTGTACCTTGAAAGACTGTTCTCTTTGTTTAAGCGTAACTAACTCTCGCCCTTTTTATTTCTGTTCTTTCTTTCTTTTTCTTTTTTTTTTAATTTTTCATCGTAAACTTAGGTGATAATTTAAACGGTGTGGACACGCGTTATCACACGTTATTATACCGATTGTTCGTTGTGACAGTAATTGTATTATATTATGGTATAATAATACAACAGATTTATTAAAAATAATTGTACCAGTTGTCTATGTTTCATGAAACACCTTCGACAATAGATCCTTGTCTTTCTGTACATTCTTCAATGATGTTCCTATCCACCATATCGAATGGTTAATTGACTGAAATCAATAAAACTTGTTAAGTAGTTTTAATTCAAGATTTTAATTCACAGTCATAAAAGCGAGTATACCCCAAGGACGTCTGCTATCCGATTAGACTGCACTTTGCTTTTTAAACTGTCGTCCGTTTCCTTCTGTCTAGTTAACTCATTGTCCTTGATTGTAATAAATTGTCGCGTAGGTCGTCGTATGCGTCAGATCATTTTTTTAATTCGTGCGAAACCGTCATTATACAAATTATGGTGCGGGATCGTTATGTAAGATGTTCATTATCTGTATAACTAGTTTGTGGTACAGTTATATCAGTTTGAATAATCAATTTATCCTATAGCTTTAGTTCCTTATGCCTTCTGTCGATACCATTGATTTATCTATTATTATTTATAAATCCGAAAATTCTTATGTTCTCTGTTGTTTTTGATTGTAGAAAAATATTACAAAGTAGTTTCGCCTGATCTTCAAAGTATAAAGTATCTCAGATTAAAGTAGAAAATTCTATCCATGTTCTACTTATTGAAAAACAACGTTCTCACCTCATAAACTTCACGTTATTAATTTGTTTCTAATCAAATTATTTATGTGAACTGATATTTGTTCAATAGTTTTATTAATATTGAAAAACAATAAAGATAATATATATTTAACATTAAATATATGTATATGTGTATATGTAGATTTTTTTATATAAAATGCAAAGCTGTTGTTAAAATTGTTGTGTTGGTTAAAATTAATTAAAAAATGTATATAACTTTTATATAATATATAAATATTTCAAATGTATATAAGATATATATATATAAATTTTAAAATAAAGTTTTAAGATTATTTAAAGTGACACGGATTTAAAGTATCACAGGAATAATATATTATTATTATAAATAAAGTTATAATATACATCTTTTAATTTCTCACTCGCATATAAGCGCGCACATGCACACACACACACACACATGTATGTACAAATAAATACTGAAAAAGTACATTTAAGCGTAAAACATGTAAGAAACATATAAGTACCATTATAATAAGCAAGTAATGTTTTAATACTTTTCTATGAAATTAAAATATAGATAAAATATATATAAATTGAAAATAATATTTCAAGCAAGAGCTAATGTTTAAAATAACCCTCATTCAACGAATTAATTAAAACTTTAACAATAAAAGCTATGTGCATTGGAACAGTAGTATCAATAATTTAATACGTGAACATATAAACTGATATTTCCTCTGCGAGTTCACTGTTTTCCCATCGGCGGTTCACATAAATAATTTTTAGGTACATATCCTTTGTTACCGTAACGATCCTCCATAAGCCACCATTCATCATTTCCCTTTTCATCGTGAGGCCTAACAAGTCTTAATGCTTGTCCTTTAACAATAGACAACGTTCCGGGTATCTTTGTAGAGAAATCATATTCTGCATAGTAAAACTGAAAAATATTGTGATTTAGTTTGATTAGGAAAATTTTTTATATGCTCTATGACCTATTTAACATTATTTACCTCAAAGGTTAAATTCTGATATTGCTGAACTTTAGGGGTTTGTTCAATGTTACCGTAATAATGATTCTCATTTTTAATTTCTTTATTAATGTTAATATCTAACAACTCTTCCAAATGTGACTGAGATGTAGTTTTAACTTCTTTTTCAGGAGAATCCATACAAATTAGATCAGACATAGAAGTGTTACTACGTCCATCTGAATAAGTAACTTCATTGGGTGACTCAACTTGTGGTACTTGTTGAATTTGTAAACTTTTTGCAGGTAAAAATCCTTGAGCAACGCCATTGTCTACAAACCATCTGGAAGCATCGCCCATAGGATCTTGTTTTTTAATCACTGCAACTAATGTTCCACATGCTGCACCTATATCCAAAGATGAAGTACTTGCTATATTTTCTGTGACAATGTATAATTTATCACTCGAGTATTTATTTCTCAATGTAATTCTTTGTTTTTCGCTTTGTGGACACCACATAGATTGTTCTTCTATCCGTGAGTTTGATCCAGCAAATGCAAAACGAGTTATTTGATTCCATAATAAATTATGATTAACTAAAAATGATTCCAAAATATCCCGAGGTGATAGTTGTGTTGAAGTCTATAGATACAAATGAATATGATTAAACTTCTAACTTTTACACATTTATAAATATCGATTGTTATTTTTATTTGAAATACCTCGCAAAAAGTCAAATATCTTTTAGTAATTTTTCCACATAGAAGTTTTCTAGCATGTGCAAAAACGTTAATACAATCCACTAATATTTTTGTCCCTGCATCAATCACAATTGGTAATTCTTCCAGTAGTTGATGTGTTAAAGCTTCGTAATTACCCTTTGCTGTTGATAATTCATCCTGTATCTATAAAGAAATCAAATATTGTTACATTTCTCTACATTCTAATCATGTTATGCTATTTAGAAGAATAATTAAATAAAACAAAGGCTTACAATTCTTGATTCCTTATATTTTTCACTCTTGGAAATAGCAGCATCATAATCAAGTAATTTGTCATGTGTTTTTGTTATTAACACAGCAGGTCCTTCTAATAAAGTCATTAAACAATTTATTGGCGTACTGACTCTATTTTTCAAACATATTTTCAATTCTTGTACATATTGCGACCAAATTGTAGATCTTATATCTCTAAGTTTTTTTGCTTCAATATTAGGTGTTCCTTGATAGTACTGAATCAAGAAATCTGATATCACTTCTCCAGAAATAGCTTCGTCACTTAAATGTGTAAGGCACTGTTCAACATCTTTAGCTAATTGCAAGGTACATTTTTCGACAGATCTAAATTGTTTTACAAGTTCTTCAAACTCTGGATCAATAACAACATTTGTCAATCCTAAGCTAGCAGAAAATCGTGTACTTAATCTGGTAGACATTTTTGCCACAGAATGCATGTTAAGCTTAGCCATTTTTCTTATCAGTGTATTGTCATTACCCAAATATTTCGATACTAAATCTTTTCGTCGTTTATATTCGTTAATATGACTGGCAACAGCAGTCATAGTCTTCCATGCTTTTTCAACTGCATCTTTATCTGGATGGTTGTCATCGGTACACTATAAAATTATTGTTTCTCTTGAAAGAAGTTTATAATATACTGGTAATATAAATTACTGGTAATATTACAATGACTTACCTTCACTAACTCATATAAAATAAGAGGATATTTTAATATTCGCTGTACTGGCTTTATAAGGACAGAACTCATATCAAAACAAGCTACTTGATATCGTAATGTTTCGATCCCTTTGTTGAATACCTTCATTATTTCTTCATTATTTTCATACTGAAATCAAACAATGATATACAAATACATATAAGGTATATAAAAAAATGTGATATAATATGAATGAAACATAGTAACCTTCGTTAACAAAACTAATGCAGCTTCATGATTTCCACAATATTTTACATAAACGCTTTTTAGTTTTTCAGCCATTCTTGTGAAGCAAGGGCCAACAGTTTGCAATTCTTCGTCACACCCTTTCATTGCTTTTAGTATCATATCTAACAATTCTTCTGCAACTTGAATAACGTCAAAAAGATTTCCAAACAAGGTGGTCACATCTATTCCCAAAGATTCAAGTTGACTTGGATTATGTAAGTTAAACGTTTCATATGTTAACTTTAAGTCGCGAACATATTCTTTTTCAGTGAGAACTAATTCCGATATAACATTCTGTCTTTGATCTGCCCTTTTCTGTTTGATTTCTAAATTATCATTATCAGTAACACTGATCTGCTTGGTATTGTTTGAAATTTGTTTGCTCTCTGTTGCATTCTTCTGCAGCGGAGTACTACCTGGTGCAGGTACAGGCGGTACTGGTCTGTGTGGTTTTGAAAGTCTCTTTGATTTCTGTTCTTCGGTTCTTTCAAAAGGAATTACTTCATTATGTTGTATTATTACAAAATCTTCCAAGATATTCATACTAGTATCAGATGATTCTGTAACCAATGGGCTCAAGTAACCTCTTGGACATAAGCCGACTTTACCAGAATGATTTTCAACGTTAACCCAATCTGAATTTACCATATTAACTACTTTAACTATATCATTTTCAAAAACAGTCAAATCTCCGTCCATTTGAGCTCTAAAAGTATACTCCACTTTTGTTCTAGTTCCAGGCATTAATTCGTCATATTGTACACTGTTTGTTTCCTGATTGTATGAATTTTGTTCATTATTTGTTCCATCGCAATCAACTATAATGTCAACATAAGACATAGGAAAAATGCCTTTTTGATTGTCTATTGTGCCTTCCAACCATTCTGAATCTACATGTTTAATGAGGTGTACTACCTCTCCTGCTCCAAAATTAAGCTCATTTGGAAACTGAGCACTAAATGGATATAAAGTTATAGCATAAGGTTTCACGTCTAGTGTATTTAGATTACTGATATTTTTACTATCTCTTGTCACGTTTGAAGGAACCGGTTTGAATTCAGGAAACAGATCGTAATAATTTGGCGCAGGTTCTTCAACAGTGGAACTCGTAGGTGTTTCTTCAATGTTTCTATATATCCTTTCATTGTAATTTATACAAGAAGAACTATTCTCCGATACAGACATTGTGTCTAATTGGTCTGTACTGTCATTTATATAAGATATAAACCCTTCTGGAAACATTCCCACTTTACCATTCTCTGTTGTTCCATAACACCAACCATCACCAAGAATTTCTGTGACAGTCACTATTTCACCTTCCACTAAGTCAAGTTCTCCGTCAAGTTGTGCTTTCAAATTAGCCTTTATTCTAGCTTTTTTTCTTGTAGTCTTCTTTTTCAAAGCTTTCTAAAAATAACATAAAAACTTTATAGGTTTTTACTTGCATGACAAATTTAACTTAATTGTGAAAATTAAAAAGCAAATAACATACCTTTAATAATTTAGTTTCGAGTTGCCATACATGCGTTAAAGGAAAAATACCCTTTTTAGCATCTATTTGACCTAAGTACCATCCAGAGCCAACATCTTGTACCCCAATAATAATTTCTCCTATGAAATATATACAAATATAAATACAAATAGAAAAAAACTTCTTTACTTTAAAGTACAGAAATTACCTTTGGAGAAGGATAGGTCCCCATCCTGTTGTCCTGGGAAGGCAGTGGTTGATACAAACAAACATTCCGAATCATCAAACGATGGAATTTCTACTTTATGCAAGTGATTTGATGGAAATTTTCCAGTTCTGCCACGGGATTCTCCGTAACACCAGTGCTTGTCTACGATACTATATACCTATTTTCAGTTTTACAGAAAGAACAATGTAATTATATACAATAGGGTTATATGTAGGGTTGTATGTTATGTATACATCTGTGAAACTACCAGAAAATGTTCCCCCTTCTGTAAACTTAACTCTCCGTCGACAGTTGTTAAAAAGTCAGATAAAACTCTCGTCAATATTCCTGGTTCCATTTTCGTATTAAGTTTAATTTAAGTTTACTTTTTTGAATTTTTCAGAGTTCGCAATAATTCTGGAGAGATTGTCACCTTGTCAGTTTCATGATAAGACCTTTAGTCACGTGGCAGGAACATCTGTTCGTTTATGTCGGTTCTCGAATTTAACTTGGGCAAATGAATACGTCATAATCAAACACAGTATTAGATATTTCAGAATATTATAAAATTGATAAATATTTCAGATATACGTTGGAGAACTGTAGAAACAGTTTTGTAATATTATGAATTGACATAGAGTGTTGATTTCGAGTGTTAATTAAGAAGTGTATACAATGTTTGATTTTTTTTATTTAGAATAATAAATTTATACGGATTATACCAAAATTTGTATTTTTTTTGATGGTGAATATATTAGTTACTATAAAATGACATATATTCTGATGTTGTATTCAATTTTCGAATATTTTTATACAAAAATTATGTGTTAAGTAAGGTTAAGTATTTTATTTTAAAGTATAAAAATCCATGTTGTTTACTTTTAGATTTTGCTTTTTATGTTTATTAAATGTTTAGAAATAGAAATGCTTATTTAAATGTAATATCACTTTTCTTTGAAGTTAAATATACCATATGTATGCTAAATTTGAGGTTATGAATATATATATGTATATATATGATACTGTATAATTATTAGATAATGCAGTGTTTGAAAAAACTTGCCGTTTTAAATAAATCACAATATATAATTAAGAGAAGGAGAGAATTTAATATATTAAATGTCATATGTCAGTGTAAATATGAATCTGATGTAGCATTTGAATATACGGAGAATGAAAAAGAAAAGAATATCTATGCACAGGTGTCACAAGACTATTTAGGAACAGTTGTTGGTGGAAACAGAATATTTGTGATACAACCATATATTAAATGGGGTGTTAATAAGAAAAGGAATACTACGCCTCAGTTGCAATTGTCAGAGGCAAAAGCACTCGTCAGTAATCTAACAAGTTGGAATGTTGTTGGTGAAAAACTTGTTCCTTTACTTAGCCTTCAGAGAAATAAGTTAGTTGGTTCAGGAGCTCTTGAGACATTGAAACATGATATTGAGAAATGTCCACATGTTACAGCCATATTTATTAGTACAAATTCATTGAAATTTGTACAAATTGCTGAGTTGCAAAAGACTTTTAATTTGCCAATTTACGATCGTTATTCTATAGTCATTCATATTTTTCGAGAACGTGCGAAAACTCCAGAAGCAAAGTTACAAGTAGCTTTAGCTGAACTTCCATATGTAAAACAGAAAATGATTGATTTCACTACTTATCGCATTGGACGAATAAACTATACTGAGAAAATGAAGAACATGCTTCAAGCTAGAGAGAAAAAATTAAGAAATGCATTACAGAAATTGAAAGAGCACAGGCAGAGAATAAAACAGCAGAGACTCAGTTATGGATTTCCAACCATTGCTATTGTCGGCTACACAAACGCTGGCAAAACATCTTTGATAAAAGCATTAACAGATGATGATTCATTGCAACCTGAGGACAAGCTATTTGCTACTTTAGATACAACAGTACATCCAGGATTACTTCCAAATATGTTGAAAGTATTATACGTTGATACCATTGGCTTTATCCAAGATATTCCAGAAACTTTAATAGAGCCATTTATAGTAACTTTAGAGGATGCTATGAGTGCAGTACGTGAAATTTTATTTTTGCTTGTTACATTGAAATTTAGAAGTATAAAATATAATTCTGTTTAATTTTTCACAGGATATTTTAGTTCATGTGTTTGATGTGAGTCATCCTGATGTTCAAGCTCAAATTCAACACGTTCAGAAAACAATAGAGCCTATGATTGATGAAAATAAATTAATAATTAACGTCGCTAATAAATGTGACATAGTAGAAAAACATGTCGTAGAAAGCGTCATACCAAAGGATACGTTTACTATTTCTGCTGTTAAATTAACCGGCATTAATTTATTACGATCGAGAATAGAAGAAGAAATTACAAATACAACGAATTTACTAAAGAGACGAATTAGGGTGAAAAGTGGAAGTATAGAAGCGTCATGGTTGTATAAAGAAACGACAGTTCTAAATGTTGAACCTGATCCTAAAAATCTACAATATTTGATAATGGATGTATACATGACAGTACCTATATTTCATAAATTCAAACGATTTTTAAAACTCACTTGATTTAAATAAATTTACACAAGCATATTTCTTTTTTGTTTATATGTTAATTGTGATATATTTAACTGATAGTTGTGTAATTTCTTTTCATTCCATCAGTTCCATTCTGTTCATCACCTTCATTCAACGGAATAAAGTACATCATGGAGTGCAGATAAAAATTTTAATTGGGATAACATTTATTTTCAGAACAGTGTTTCTAATTTAATTGAGGTAATATTTTCTATCACACATGGAAACATATTAAATAAATCAAACGATGCTTATTTTTTTCTCGGAAAAATTAAACTAAACTTACAAAGCTTTCAGATTGAGTCGTCTTTTTCAACTTGATTTTCTCTTTTATGAAGGCTATTTCGCACACGTGTTGCGCACGTGTTTCTTCTACAGTCGGCACTTTTGAATACCAGATGTACGATACATAACTCGAAATTTCAACCAAGGCATTCGTTACGCTCGTTAACTAGATTAAAGCTTTATTCTGTACAGTTGTTTATCCTTACGGATGTCAAATCTAGGCGTAAAAATAAACTGAAATATTTATTTTATTTTGTACAACTCCGCAAAGTGTATAGAAAATATAATAATCTAATTAACGTATATATATATATAACTCTGACTACGAACATGAAGACGAATTAGAAATTTTACAGATTCGAAATAAATGTTTAAAAGTAGAATTCTCGGACGAAATATATCCGGAGGTTTGGCATGCAAATATTCGCACGTTAGAGTCGTGCGTTGCATTTGAATAGAAACTGGCTTCTGACGTGACGCATGGGTTGCAGAGGATGCAATTTTGTGTTATCGAGGAGTAGAATTCAAGCATGGAGCATGATTCGCAGGAGAGAGAGAGAGAGAGAGAGAGAGAGAGAATGAAAATTCGGCGAAGAGTAACGAGATAAGAAGGTTGTTATACATACTCGTACTCGTGCAAACGCAGTTTGATATACGAGTCTTGATAACTGACAAAGACTAAACAGAATACAATTATTTACCATCGTGCATAAATATTGGAATATTTTCAAGTTATTTTAGATGTACAACATATACTTTAAATGTGAAACTTTTTAAGCCCAACTTCTGTCTCTGATCTTACCTCAAATAACAGATGATCCCCTCTTTTGCGCCAGGTTCCACATACTCATGCACGATGGAGCACGTAGATATGTGTATTGACAAATTCAACGCATAACACAAATATTTTTTTTTTTTTTTTATAAAAATATTAGCATATAGAGCTATAGAGAAAATAAGTGTTTTAGAAGCGACGTTTATTAAGAGGCGAGTTTATTTGTCTTATCTTTGTTAGTGAGTGCAAGAACGATCATCCGCCGCAAGAAAGTTCGCGGCGAGGGTGCCGGCAACATGATGTATAATTCATAGAGCCGGTGGGTTCGTGCATATATAGATATAGAGAACGTCTTAAGGAATTAATCGTGGCTTTGTGTGGAAGAGTTTCGACGCGAGTCGTTCCCCGTCGAGCGAATTAATGAAGGATTGATATCGCGATTATGGCCCTTCCCTTGCGGAAAGGGTCCGGCGCGGCCGAGAGAGGGCCGAGAGAGGGCCGATCGACAACCAGCAAACGGGCCGCGATAATTAATTACGAGCGTGACGTCGCTTTAACGTCGTTAATTTTCATTATCTCGATTGGAATTCGCTTGTAGCGCACGATGTAGCCGCTTTCGGGCTTGCTAATTTCGCGCCTCGTCTCGGCCTCTCTCCGCGGAAAAGGCATTAATAATTCCGGCTGTCCTTGCAAAATTTGTCACCCACCGTGGCTAGAGGCCGCGGCAACGTTAACGTTGGTCACGCACACCAGACACTTTCATACAAGCGTGGGCCATGCTTTCACGGACGCAAGGATCCCAGCAATGCACTTTGCATGTTGCCTGGATTATTAAAGCGAACCAAGTGAAACCTAATTATCGCGGTGCCACTCCTGCCACTGGCTCTAGCCGAACGACTAATTTCCACCGCTTTCCTACTGTTTACCGAGGTAACAAAGCGACAACTTTACATTCCCGCCGCTCCCAACCTGTGGGACGACTCTAATCTCCGTAATCTTTGCGTGTCGGCGCGTCATATGTATCATTATCCGTCGTCGTGTTGCACTCTTCGTTTCTTATATTCTTCAGGAACGATGTCTCCTCTTAGGTATTCCTGTTCTTGTTTGCGTACACCGTCGCTTCTTGGAGGAGAACAGAGATAACGCGAGGATTTTAGCGCTGTCATTTCAGATGAAGATGTAAATTCGGAATAAGTTTCATTTTAATTCTTAAATTGATTTGTGAGTTTGCTTCGATGTTTATCTTCATACTGGATCCTTGAATTAAATTGCATGATTAAACTATCAATAATTATTAACGAAATATATCAATATACGTATTGATAATATGCAGAGTGTTTCGTAACCTAAGCTGATTGTACGCCTAAAAATAATGAAAAAAAGTCACATAAATATATATCCCGATGTGGATCCCACAAGTTACGAAACACTCTGTATAATGGTATCAATAATGTAGATACCATTGTCAATTTCTATTCTATATATGTAACATGTAATAATGTCTTTTTCAATTCAACGTACTGTTTTCAGACACGCTCGTTTACGAAGCCCTCTACGTATTTTGTCGGACAATCCCGTCTTGTTGCGCTCTATCTAACGAGCAACGATCGTATTTCTTTCACTCGACGTGTCATTCCGCTTCGTGGTGTTGGTGTACGTGCGTTTATCTGGGTACTTCAACTACAAAGCAGCAGCTTAACCGAGCAACTGTAAGCCAACAATTATACGAACGATTGACTAACGAATGTCGATCGACGAGTGACTCGTATAATGCAATGATTGGCCGTCGTGCTGATTCGGTTGCTGTTACAGATTCAATTACGGCTCCCACGGCTTGATATTTTGTGCCGCCGATTGAACGGTCCGAAACGGGCAGAACTTTGATCTCCGACCGTCGGTGGCCGAGAAATCGAATTAAGCCTCGCTGCACGCATAAATAACGAAAACGATACGCCTGTCGTTTGTCATTATTCTCATGACTCTATTTTTCAACTAGATGGAATAACGTTGTCCGAGTCATCACAAGATGCTGTTAATTGTAAATAAATTACGTACTACACGCTGTGAAAATTACAAAAGGAAGACACGACGAGTTACATTTTTCTGTATCTCTTTGTTTGATTTTTTCTATGCTCGGGAACATCTAGAAAATATTGATTCGTGAGATTAATCTTTAAACTTCACGATCTTGTTTTTTAAACAACCTCAATGAGTTGTTCTTATTTTCATTGTAAAATAAAAAAATAAAAAAGAATTTCAAATAAAACGTACAATGCAATACATATTGTACGAAATTATATGAAAAATACGCGGTGTCCAATATAGTGAAGTCGAAGTTCGCGCAGTTGGCAATATGTTAATACTCACTTCTATACTTAACGAGTATCCGATGGCGCGCCACGGGCGACACTCGCGTGTTAAATAGTTCGTAACCTTACCGTAAGATTAAGTCGTTAAGTTCTATCGTATGATGATTAATTAAGCGGCTGGCGCGACACCGGTTCGACGAACCATACGTTTCGTCTGTCGAGAGAGTATTCCAGCGATCAAGCTTCCAGGATTAATTGCATCGTTAAGGTCGTCGAACAATGTCGCCGTTCCAATGAGAAATCAACGCTTGGGCCGGGCCCCTTTGCGTGGCGCAAAACTGATGTTCGTGAAACGGATATCAACCGGGACCGGTAACTTCAAAGAGACGGAAAAAAATTTGAACGAGGTCAACCCCGTGTGAGAGAGAATTCTACACTTACGAAAATGCTTTCGTCAAACGATCGACACACTGTTCCCTTTCTACGCCGGCTCTCTCTCTCTCTCTCTCTCTCTCTCTCTCTCTCTCTCTCTCTCTCTCTCTCTCTCTCTCTCTCTCTCTATCTATCTATCTATCTATCTATCTATCTATCTATCCTGTTCAGTTTCTCTTTGTCGCGCGTTCCGTGGGGAGAGATACGCGTATTTAGTACTTACATACGTGTTTACACACTAACTCTTCTCTTTGTACCTGTAACTTAATAGCTACGTTTGCGCAAAGCTGACTTTGCTCTATACAAAATCGAGACGAGCCAATGATTGACAAACATCATCGCGTAATTGCCATTTGTTCCGTGGATTCGACGGGACAAGTGGAACGTAGACCATTAGAGTATATTTCGTCCGTTTACCCAGTCACGACGCGATTCAACGGGGCGAGAGCTAGACTCGTACAGTCGGGAATTAGGAGCCCCCTGTTTTACGAACCCGAATAAATTTCTAGTTACTTTTCATTGTGTGAACGCTTTCGCGCGTTTATCGTTGAAAAATCTATACTCGAAATATGCTACATTAATTAATTAATACATTATTTGCATCGTCCAAAAATCCTTCGTCGACGATTTTTATCGAACGATAAAAATATTTTCGCTTGGTCCTCATCGACAACGGTCGACATAATGGTCGAACGTTGTCTTCTGTTTATCGACGTTCGATCGCAATGTCGGTCAACAATTGGGAAACGCGTTTGGTAGGTTGGCGCCCTTGGACCGAGGTTAGACGGTCCTGCCGCGAGGCATCGGCATTGGCTGTTCCGCGGGCGTGGGAGCTCCGCAGGGGTTCAGTTAGTCTGCACGGGTAATAGAACTGCGCTGGGGGGTGGGCGTAAGAACGAGGAACGGTTAGTACATGTTCGCGAAGGGTAGGAGCGATAGCCGGTTGGCGCAAGTGCGGCGGGGATATCGTGGCCTGGCGGAGCCCAGTCGAGTCCCGTGAGTCCGGGAAAGCACAGCTATTAAGGTGGTATGTGGTGGTGGTGTGTAGGCGTCGTCCGGGACTGAGATTTCGAGCCGCCATCGAGAAGCCATCTCTCCGCACCGGTGTGTGTCTGTCTGTGCGTTTACGCGTGGTCGCCGGGTTTCCGCGTGTCACGCATTGAGAAAAACGCGGCTCGACTACCGCTTCTCGCGTTCTCGATTTCAAACACGGATTAGCTTCGAGGAGAAGGTTCTTGGGGAGTCTGTTGTGCCGCGTGCTGTGAGTGAGAATGTGTGCGCGAGTGTGCGTGCGTGGCTGATGTAAAAAGAAAGGTTAGAAAGATGAAAAGAGAGTAAATGTTGGGAGAGATATGGGCGAGTGGGAATCGGAGAAGAAAGAGAGAGAGAGAGAGAGAGAGAGAGAGAGAGAGAGAAAGAGAGAGAGAAGGAGAAAGATACAGGTAGAACATAGTCGGTGCGTGGTAGTATGCGTGGAAAGAGCGGCTGCTCGACCGAACCCGGCGAGGAGGAGGCGAGAGCTGTCACTTCGATCGCCATTTTAGCGCCGAGGCGGTGAAGAACCACCGGGTACGCACGCCGGCAGCGGCGACGGAACGGAGCGCCCTGACACGACGGAAGGTGGTGTTGTTTGTGGGCTGTGGCTCTTTCAGTGACTTCGTCTCGTGTTTTGGCGTATCGAAGGGAACGGTTACGCGATGCACGACAGTAAAAGGGTGGGGGGGAAGGGAAAAAGTAGTAAGCGCGCGCCGATCGGAATGTGTCCAGTGTATCTTGAGTCATGAGAGCTACACACATACACACACACAGGCATACGCAACATATATACGTTTTTCTGTTTGTCTGTCTCTGTCTCTGGCCCCAAAACACTTTCCTGATGTTTCGTCTAGTTTGGATATACGTACGTGCACGTAGTTTCTTCTCTTATCTCGTCGAGGTTATGTACGAAAATTTGAACGAGACGTCACGTCGCATCGGTGAGGTTGTCTCTCTCTAGTAGTGCGTCCGTTTTTTTTCAAAGCTAGGTGTCTCAGTTGTCGAATCTTTCCAAGAGTCTAATTCAACGATCATACGTGCGGGCCGGTGACAGTCGAGCGTCGTGTATGCGTCTGGTTAACTTAAGGGTGCTGCTGGTCAAAGCGAGACCGACGAGGCCGGTATACATGTGAACATAACTACGATATAGAGAAAGAGGCGAATGAAAAAAAATTCGGGGTCTGGCGACACTTACGAACCAAAGCGATATGGGAAACAATGAAAGAGAAGGGAACGAACGTGCGCGTGTACGCGTGAAAGAGTGAAAGGGGTTAGAGAAAGAGACGAAACGAAGGACGGCGCCATACTGGCTCCCCCGGTACGATTTCGTGGCACACGTTAGACCATCTTTCTTTTTCTCTCTCGCTCGCTCTTCCCGAGATTCGGTTTTCTCCACTCGTCCGTCGATCGTCCGTCATTGTCGCCTGGATGCCTCTGATCGATGGTAAATGGTTTTTAGGTACGTACGACGATAGGGGCCCCGTCTTCGTTGCCGGCACAAGAGCAGACACCTCTCCCTTCAGTCGAACATCGAACACACGGATCCGTTTTGCCGACTCGTAACCGGCCGAGAGGAGAAGAGAATCGGTGTGGTGTGGTGTGGTGTTACGGGACAGCGTTAAAACCACTACTCGCTGGCCGCGTACGTAGACCCTAACCGGTGGAAGACGCATATCACAAGTATATACACGGAGGAATCGAACAGGCGCGCACGATGATTCTGCGCGTCTGAGAGTCCCGTGCACGTAACAGAGAGAAAGAGAGGGAGAGGGAAAGAGGGGGCAAGATAGCTAGATGGATGGATAGATAGATAGATAGATAAATAGATAGATAGATAGATAGATAGATAGATAGATAGATAGATAGATAGGTAGATAGATAGATAGATAGGTAGATAGAGATAGATAGGACAGATAAAACGTGTGGAAAGGGATACACGACGTTGTTCGAGGGCTCGTGTACAATATATTCGGTTGTGGATAAAGAAGAGAAAGAGTGTCGACCCGTCGATCTATGATCACGGGAGTTGGAAGAAAGGTATCGAGTTCGCGGGAGGGACACGAACGATGTTATCGTTCCTCTTCGTCGCGTGTTTCTTCGACCCCCGATGACCAGTGCTCGCTCCCGGTATAACCGATTAACAGACTCTCGCGAGTGTCTATCGATTAAACCATCTGAAGGGAGGAAGTGCTGGTGGTGAAGCCTTTGCGAAAGAAAGGAACGAAGGAAGAAAGGAAAGTGAGAAGAGGAGAGAGGACAGGGTCAAAGAGAAGAAGAAGAAGGAGACCTTAAGTTAAGATACATTCAAAAGAAAGAAAGAAAGAAAAAGAGAAGAGGATAGAAAATTGGTGACAACTGTGAGTGGTCGCGGGCGGTGAGTAGTGCGTGACAAAAGAAAAAGAGAGAAGAAACGAGATAAAGAAAGAAAGAGAGACAGTGTATGTGTGTGTGCTCTAAACGGAGCGTGGATTGCAAAGGAGTAGCATCGAGGACGGGGGGTCCACAGCGACATTGGGGGGGCGTGTGAGACTGATTTTGCCCCCCCTACCCCCTGTCTGTCATCCGAAACTGTGACTTCATCGTCGTTAAAGTCAATTTCTTCGTCGGCGTTACAACGTTGCCGTTTAGGTGAGTCACATTCCACGAATTCTTCTTCTCGCGCGTACACTGCAAGTACTCTTGCCTTCAACTTCTCAGAGAACAATCTCATCGCGCGTTAACGCTTATAAATGAGATGTAATTTTTTTCAACCTCTTGCGCATGTTAAAAATTGTTTATCTCAAATTGCAACATTTTCTCAGTAGTTTAGGTATATTTAAATGTAACCCAGGCAAAGTAAATGACAAGTATATTACTTCTCAGTAATTTCTATCCAGTGGCATCATACCGACGAGTTCAAAAAGAAAGCGACGAATTATTGTATACGGTTCGGTCACTCGTTATGGTCCGCGAACCAGTTGCCAGCGCAGGGGGGTTAATCGAAATACACAGCGTTTCAGATACTTTCGAACAATGGCGTGTAGTTATACCCTTCGCCGTGTTCTTCCTCCTTCCTTGAATGCAAATCATTTATATTATTTACAAATACGAAAGAAATGAGTTCTCGGATCGACACACAGGGATGTGGGAGGGGTTTTGTCCGGCGAGCGTTATGACAACGTACGATGTCGCGTCGGGATTCATTGTACGCTTGGTAACAGGCCACGTTCACTTCCTTCCTTGAGAAGTAAGAAACAAACAGGCTCGGCCAGAGAATAGTTCTTCTTTAAATGTTTTGTCTGTACCTCCCCTTAGTCCTCTTTGTTTTCGTT